CCTCTGGGTCTCCCGTCGTCAGTCCCGTGTCTGGTGTCAAGTTAAACTTTGATCACTTCAATTCCCATCACACGCGACATACGGGGACAAATTACGCGAGGACATGACTGCATGAGCCTCACAGATAAGAGGGGAACACCAACCATCAAATACTTACTATATAACTCCCATAAGGAACCCCGATTCAACTCAAATTCGACGATATTTTACTCACGTAACGGAAATATGTAACACGGCGAGAAAGGTGTTCCAAACACGTAGTCACAATTCATATCTGTCATTACAGAGAGGTGCCATTGTACCAAATGTGACACTTCCATACGCACCCATTCTTCACTTTTTCAGAGAAGAAAAACTGATAAATTTCCCATGAAAGATTTATCATGTATCAGAAACAAATTAACTTTCTCCTTCCATCTCTTTACAAAACTTTGCAAATTGTTTCTTCACGTTTCGCAAATTCGCTCGGTACTTTTCCCCTCTTTGTTTTCTTTAGGGATTGAATAAGCTGACGGTGTAGTGACGTTGGTGGATGGATGGATGGGCACCAAAGTGGTAACACATTTCCCTAATGGCTTTCTCAATTTCCAAGTAAAACTAAACAAATACGCACAACGAACGAACGACACGGAGCTCGTGGAGAAAACTCATCTTTTCTTCTTGTTCTTCTCGAGGGGAAGAAAGTGTGTCTCTCATCAATAATTATTGGTTTCCTTTCCCCTGCTTTCTTTCCCCATCAAAAGTGAATGAAAAGTTTTGTCTCGTTATTATTAAACTAAACTAAAGTAAACCAAACTAAGCCGACTCCATTACGCGGGCAGGCAGGCAGGCAGGGAAAGGGTTTAGATGGCGACGACGACGACGACGACGAGACTCGCTGTTCCTTAATGTGTTTAGTGATTCCGTGCCATTCCATTCCACTGATAATATCGTAACGACCTTGTTGATGGCTTTAACTTTGGAGAGGAAAGGCCGACCACCTTTTGTTAGGTGGAGAACACCCAGAGTCATGAATGTTATTAGGGAGGGGGAGAATTTTGGCGAATTTTGCAACGAAGTTGAAAAACATGTCGTGGCTCTTTAAAGTTTTGCACTTTAATATTAAACTATATTAACATGTAGTTAACAAGGGAAAGTTAAACTTTGTATGTAGTTTTAGGATTTCCAGGAAATTTTACGAATTTTGGTGAATTTTGTGTCGCAAAATCTGACTAGTTGAAAAATGTCGTAGCTGTTTAAATTTTTGAATTTAATATTAACATGTAGTTAACAAGGGAAAGTTCAACTTTGTAGTTTTAGGATTTCTAGGAAATTTCATGTTTCAGGAAATGTCAAAATGTGAAACTAAAAAAAGAAAGAAAGCAAACAAACTGCCACCACATATCTTCCCACTAAAATCACATCCATCTAAAAACAACTTTCCTTTTTTTACCTAATCTGTCCAAATCGTAAGAAAGGTATAAAATCACGCCAAAAATATCACCATCCTCGATAATAAAACTTCTCGAAGCTTGCCAGCCTTTCTGTCAATTTTTTGTGCAAAATTCAATACACGTACGCGTGTGGCCTGGTACAAACGGGGTGCCAGTGAGTGAACAACTGGCCAAAAGAAGCAGCAGCAGCAATAACATGACAAGAAGTCCCAGGCCAAAGAGACAAGATCGATTGCAAACCGATACTAAAACACAACCGTGGAAAAATACGGAAAAAATCTCATTTTTTTGTGTACACCGAAACCTTTTCTTTTCCTCTTCTTCGGTTTTAGTCCACTTTAGGAAATGAGAAGCAAGTCGTAGTAACAGTAACACCATTAGCAAAAAAAGAAACGCCAAGAAGAAACTTGCTGTCCTGCTAAATATCTACGATTCAACAACACGTGTAACATTTCATTTCATTTCATTTCCTTCTCCTCCTGAGACGGGAAACGCGTAAAACAAAACAGAATTTGTAAACGAGGTGGAAGCCGAGAAGGAGAAAACGGAAAATAAAGTAAAATAAGATAAGATGACATTTCTTACTACGTCGTTCCTTGTCTTTTCTTCATTTTCTGAGAGTATATAAACCAAACGGAAAAGATTTCGTGAGGAACCAGCAGCACAGATGAAATGTTCCCCTTTTGGGACTCTTTTTTATTATTCTTGAAAACTGTCCACTTGAGATTACTTTGTCTCACTTTACATTTACGTACGTACGTTTTACTTTATTATTCACTTTGACCAATCAGCAAAAAGACCTAGTTTGCTTACTTTACTTTCAATTTTCTTGGGAGCAAAATGTAAATTGTTTTTGCAAATGGAAACTGACTGACTTCTGTTATGCAATGGGTACGCGTACGCATAGACGGACGGCTACTTCCGCAAATTAGAAGAACAGCTACTGTACATGGATTCGTGTAGTCAGTCGTTTTGACAAAGTGGGTTGGAATCAGTGGCCGCGGAAGCTGTGGGGACATCTGGTGACGCTAACATTGTAGGATAGGGGAGGGAGGGGTTTATATAACATGGGCAGATGTTGCGGACATCGAATAACCGTGGGGACATTGCCCCTCTGTCCACACCCTTTCGCGGCCACTGGTTGGAATGGAGTACATGGAAATGCAGATGTCTTCCTCCTTCCCTTCCATTTTAATTTATTAAGAAATAATTAAATAAAACATGACTTGGAAAGGAGGAAGGATCGAATCTGGAACATAATTTTGACTAAAAGGTGTGTATATGCAAAACAGTTTCGCACTGAATCTCAATCCCTTAACATATCTACATATTTTACAGTGTAAATCTTGTTCTGCTTCCCTTGTAAATACAAACCGGGTTGACTATTTCGGACCAAATCATAACAAAAAAGTGTGTCTTCTTGCATCCATAGCTCATTTCATTCTCTCGAAATAATGACTCGGAACTAAAATCTGGTCTCATTAGATTGTGAGAACCAACCACACATTCGCCTACTTACTTACATAATTTGCTGACTATGCAACCGCCCATTGTGGAGAGACGGATGGATGGATGGATCTCTGCGATGCCAGAAAAACAGTCCTTTTTTACCCAAAAAAGTCTCAAAGTCTGCATCTCCGCCTATTTATTTGAAACGCGAGGAGGACTTGTTTCACTCTTCTTGGTCTTGTTCTTTTTTTTGCACGCATATTCAAAATCTCATACCCATTTCTTCTCTTCATGAGTTTAATTACTGCCCTGGGGAGTTATTCATAGTTAACTAGTGTCAAGATTTTATGGTGCCAGAGAGAAGAATAAGAGTTGTTATTCCTCCATCACTAATTAATCTCTGACTTACTTTTCTCATTTTTTTCACTCTGTGTGTAACCCTAAGTTTGCTATCCATCTCTGTGGCGTGGCACTCTTGGTTTTCTTTCGTTTTCTTTGGTCTTGGCATGGATGGAATGTAAAGGAATGGCAAATTGATGCGTGGTTTACTTAAGTGCATTAGACAGATTTGCGCCACGTTAAGTTTCCTCACTTCAAAAGGAGAGAAGAAGAAGAAGAAGGCCAGACAAATTACGAGAGTTTGTATGCATATCTACACATACTTCAAAAACTAAATGTCTTCTATTTGCCAGCATTAAATACATAGTAGTTAAGTTAGTTTACATACACAGAATATGGCTGGCTGCGAGACCACAAAGTTTGTTTTCTTCCGTATAAGTAAAGCTTCTATAATTAACCAAAACTTGGCAAGGAGAAAAAAATTGAGATGAGATGAGACGCGATCTTTAAAATTCTTCTGCTTGGTGGCAGCGAATCTGATTTAACAGTGTGTGTAATGTCACTTTTGATGGGGTGGAATTACAAATTTTTGGTTATTTTGTGCCGCCGTTATACAAAATTTGGGTAAAAATTAATTGTATAATTAGCAAAATAGATGAGTAGGAGTTGGGAAAATAAGTATGTGGATTTGAAATATGTAGATTTTTACCATTAAAAGCACCCAAATCTGGTTTAACAGTGTGTGTAATGTTATTTTCTGAAGGGGGTAGAATTACCAATTTTTGGTCGTGTTATGTAGAGTAAAATGCCGTTATACAAATTTTGGAAAAATTAATTGTGTAATTAGCAAAAACAGATGTCAATTAGGGTTGGCTGAATATGTGGATTTGCAATATTGAAACTTTTTTTACCATTAAAAAATACGATTTAACAGTGTGTATAATGTCATTTTTTGATGGGGTAGAATTACAAATTTTTTGTCGTTTTGTGCCGCCGTTATACAAAATTTTGTGAAAAATTAATTGGATAATTAGCAAAATAGATGTTTAGAAAGTTTAGAATAAGTATGTGGATTTGAAATATATGTGGATTTTTACCATTAAAAACTACCCAAATCTGATCTAACAGTGTGTATAATGTCCCTTTTTGATAGGGTGGAATTACAAATTTTCGATCGTTTTATGCTAGAATAAAATGCCGTTGTACAAATTTCGATAAAAATTAATTACATAATTACCAAAACAGATATCATTAGGGTTGGCTAAATATATGGAGTTGCACTATGCTAATTTTTACTATTTAAAAAATACCAAAAACACAACCACTACCAACCCGTCAAAATATTTTACCGCACAACTTTCACCCCTTTCAAAAATTTTGATTTTCAAACAAACCCGACCCGACCCTTCAACTAGGACATGGCTCGATCACTTTCCTCTCTTTGAGACTTGATTCATACGAATTATTAACAGCAACATTATGCAGATGAAGAACTCCACATATTTAAGAACCTAGGATAAATTATGCCTCATCTAAAATTAAGAATGACCTGTCACTCGTACATAATAAATAACGTGTCAGAATCAGAAGAGAATGCTGCTCCTCTGACGAGGAAGTTTTGATTCCACTTTTCATAAACACTTTGACAAAACATGTCAAAACAAAATTTCTTCTATGCACGATAATAAAATACAAACATTGATATTTACTTAATAACAAGACTTATGCATAATAAACATTAACAAGCACATTGCGTAAGAAGATTCTGTTAGTGTTTACCTTATAAATTTTTGGTGAATCCGTCCGTCCGTCCGTGAATGGAAATCATCAAGGGGAAGTAAATAATAAATTATAAATTTAGGCTGCTTCTTACACAAGTGGGTTTTATTACAATTTTCTTATTAGTCTCATCACTAACAGATGATGAAAATTAGTTCATAATAATAATTTAATCACCATTTAAGTAAATTAAATGCATGGAAAGAGTTAAGTTAAATGTCTTCGTGGTAAATAAATAACGGTCTGCCAAAACTTTCCCACAGATCGGTCGGGACCAAACTTTCTCAGACCTTTGCCTTGTCTTGTCAGTAACAGAGTAGCGTAGTAACTTTCCGGGTAAAGTAGTGGGCAAAATACCCGGATATTTCTTTCACATTTATTTTATTATTTATCCATCCTCGTCTCGCCTGCCGGATAAGTGGTTGGTGGGAGAGGAAATGGAGTATCAAACAGAAACTTGTCCTCCTCAACCAGTCTCAATTTTCCCACGATACAAAACTCCAGAGTAACTTTTTTCTCTCTTTCTTTATCAGAAAACTTAACCCGTTCTTCTCCTCCGTGTCTCGATTCAATGTCAGCCCGTTATTATTATTACGATGAGAGAGAACCCCGGAAAGATGACACTTTGACACGGCACTCTTCTCGATATTGTGTCAAAATGTGTCACTTTGACGTGACGATAACAGTGACACTGACCCCACCGGACGTCCCCGTCAATTTTAAACGTCACCCTCAATAAGCTCCGTTGTGATTGTGTCGCACGGTAAGACGGGTGACACTTAATTTCAGATTTCTTCTCCCACTGAACTCAACAAAATCCCGGATGGATGGAAAGCTGGGCTCCTCGATTTTTATTTATTATTTTTTGTCCGCTTTATTAAAGGACGCCGTGGCCGAGGTAAGACCGGTGTTCGTATTGTTCGTACGAGAGGAGGGTGAGAGCTGATGAATCTCTGGAAATAAATCCCCTTCAAAAAACCGTGTGGTTCGGCTGGAATGATGTAACCGTGGCGTAGTCCGTGCTGCACGAAAGCTGAACAAGAACTGAACAGAGAAATCCCAAAAGGGTCCAACAACCAACGCGACCAAACCAAACCTACGAACGAATATCAGAGAATCATCGTTGTTTCAGATCTCATCTCGTATCGGAGAGAGAGAAATTCACTGCAGGCTAGCTTCCAAGTTCCAATTCTTCGGAGTTTTGTTGTACTGTTCATGGAACAACGCACCGATCCGAATAAATGCGTATTGCTTGTATGTGAGTATGACTGAAGGCTGGACGTAGTGGTACAAACAAAGTGTGCGTATGTATGTGCGTATGGAGAAAAAAATAAGTTTTAGCCCATCATCCACATGGGAATCACCCTTCTTTTTCAGAGTGTGTACAGTGTAATACATATTGAAGATCATGTTACTTGCATGGGAGGAAGGGTGCATGGCAATAATGCGACCACCTTTTTAGCCTGAATCTTAATAATGGCATATTTTTTATGAGGTATGTATATAGTCTAATAACGGAACATTTGATTTTAAAATCCTGAATTTCTTGTTGTCAGCATTGGTAAAATCTGTATGAAACATTTAATCATCAAAACCATTCATTTTCAATTTTAGGATTTGAAGCCATACAATTTATTATAATTCCAATATTCCCCAATTTTCACCTTTTCTTTCAAAAATCATATCTTCCTTATCTTCCTTACGCATCCATTTATGATTTAAACCCTTCATCATGTCTGTTTCTCATTGATCTAGTTATGCATTTTTCCTCTTCTATGTCCTATTATAAAATACTTAAATTCACTCCATCCGTCCAGTCGCAAGTTTAGTTTGGTTGTCTGTTCTGTATTAAATTTTATACTTTATTCCTTCCTCCTCCTCCTCGATCCGTCCATCCATCCATTTCATCTTGATTTTCTCTCTCCAACTAACTAACACGTCTACCAAAAGTGCATGCATAACAAGTAAAGTAAGTGATGCTTGCAGGGTGACGGTCTCCACCAAAACTACAAAACTACACACCACTTGAGACGAAACTAGCTGGAGATGAGATGCAAAACATAATTCAAAACATTTACCAAAGTGGCCTTCTCGTCGTCTCTTTCATCTAAAACGGATCCAATCCAGCAGTTGCATCACTCACACTCCACTTTGTTTAATCTCAAGGCTTTCTCAATATTGCACCCAGCAAAGATGTAGCGTAGCGTTGCGTTTAATCATTTTAAATGAATCAATCTCACCTAATTGAAGGATAGTATTGTATAAAACGTAGCATTTCTAACCGAACCTCCGAGGGACGAAGTGGAACAAAAACACGGCATTATGCAAGAAGCAAAGCAACAGAATTTCATCTTTTCATCAAAATTTGATACAACCAAATCTGGAAAGGTTGTTTCATTTCATTTCGAAATTCATGTCAATTTTCCAATCAAAACAAATCCTGGGAAGTATTCAATTCTCAAATCCTCTCATTTTCATTTCATTTCAACGTTTTAAGTCGGAATTTACCCAGGCCAGGAGAAGTAAGAGGGATGTATTTACAGGTTTTATTCTATTCAGATATGTATTTCTATGTGTATTTGTTGCATAATTCTACTTTGCTCCACTGGGTCTTGTTAGTTAGCGAGTTGGTTGGTTATGTACGTAGTTTTAGTTTTAGTCCGTAAAATAAATCCTCTCTCTTCGTCAATCACCTCTCGTTTGAAGCTTAACAAGCTCAGATAACTTCCAGCTGAAACTGGGAGTTGGGAAATAAATAAAGCGATAAATATTTCAATAAATAATCCTCCTTCTCCTCCACCCAATCTTTCAAACTAATCAAATTTCCAATTAATTAATTCACGTTTTCTTCTCTCTCTCTTCACGACTTGTTTGGTTTACTTTTTACGCTCTTTTGTTATTTCGCGTAATTTAATGAAATATGTGCATTTTTGTTGGGTGGAGAGGGTTCTATTCCGTATTTTAAGGTATACCCAAACCCGAAAAACTTTGTACATACTTTTTATTTATTTATTTGAGAAGGATGAATTGAATGTGAGTGAACGACGAATTGAGGGCACATTTGCTTTTTGTGGGGTGAGTGGAGTGGGGACCGGATTTGCCCTTTTGTTCATCTTCTACATAACAGAAGCACTATTTCTCCGACCAGGGATCATTCTGACCCTATACGTACATGCTCCTCAATCTAAAGATTTAGTTAATAGCCTATACTGCACATATAGCTTTGTGGGAATCGTATATATATCGAGACATGTAGACATGTATTTACTTGTGCTTTGACTGACTGAGTTGGGGAAACCACGATGTCTCGTATAAAATACCAATTTCATTCAGAAAAGATGGGGAATAAAAAAGGTGCCTTCTTTAAATGGGATAATTTTGATGGTCGTCAACCGCATAAAAAATTATGCAAGGGGAAAGCATAGAAATTATTAGCATTTCCAGAGTTTTGATGAATTTAAGGATAAAAGTCAAGCAGGTGATGAACGATTTCCTTTACCCAAAACTTTATGAATAAGGCTACTTTACCATTAATGATATTTCCCCCAATTTATGTACCCCACACCAATCAAACCACGACCACAACGTCACTACCATTACCCATTACAACCACACCCTCCTACAAATAGTGTTCTCTGCAAATAATGACCACCACGCGGCCAAGATCAAGATCAAGACCTTTCCCCATCACCACCACGAGACGATAGATAACAACTCGTCCCATATCAACCCATGTATACGTCGCCGGCTTTCTTTTCGTCTCTCGTAAAATAAAATAAAACTCGATCTTTGTCTGTCGTGGAAGAAGTTTGGTAGTAAATTTATTCGGATTTCTTAAGGGTGGCCGTGGTAGCAGTTCCACTAGTCGTCGTAGTGGTGACACGCGGAAACCACCCCTTCTGTCTCGCTCCCCTCTTCACTTTTCTCCTTAAATTGAATGAATCTCTCTCTCTCTCCTTGGTTGTCAGTAGTCGAACAAAGTCGCTTCAAGAACATTACTACGAGGCACACACACACATCTGCAACACTTGTAGTAACCATCAACGAAAATAGAATGGGATGCAGCCCAGCAGCAATTCCTGCACCGACCTAAACCAAACTGCACATTCATTGCATTGCATTGCATCACTTGACAGCAAGCATAACGGAGAACATAATGGAAGAAAAGAAGGACAGAAATAAAATGCATGTGCACAAATGTATGGATTGTGTACCATTGTCTGTCTTAACATCTCTAAAAGTTTTTGCTTTTCCACCCACTCTGCAAATGTTTTGTCGTATTTGATAAGTACGATACCCGAGGCGAGCAATTTCGACCAGCTGGCTGGGGATGAATTAAATGTGTTTGTTTTACTTGAATTTTTGGAGAAATTTTCAGATTTGAGTATGTAAACTAACTTTACTTTGCATCGTTTACGGAAATGTCGAGAAATACAATCGAGAAGCAAACAGTGTTGATTGTTATATTGCGAAACATAACACTTACGGACATGATGAGATGAGGGTGGGAGGTCGGGACGTGTTTTTATTTTTACAATTGATTTTTTTCCCTCGCCACCCTCGCCTCGGTCGAATAGAGAGAATCAGTAACACGGTCCACGTTTCGGCAACCGTCATAACAATAATTGCCGTCTTGTTGAGAAGGTTTTGCTCTCTGAGATGCGATCAGCCTCGTAATTCCGGCCTGACATGTATATAGGGTCGCGTTGTCATTTATACGTTAAATGATGGGATATACGTGTTATCTGCGAATGGGGTGTTGTTAGATACATACATACACGGTTCGTATACAGCGGAGAAACAATCGAAAAAAGGGGAGGAAACAAGGCAGCCCAGCAATTTTATGACATTTATTTCATTTCGTTTTCAGAAACATATGCTATTTTTCGGCCGCCTGCCCAGCCCACTTGCCAATTTCCGTTCACGTGTGTGAATGGAAATGTGCAAAATTGTGCATAATTTTTATGCGGTGGTCGATAGAGTAATCAAAAACATCGATCTCCTCACACTTAAGCACACCTCCTGCTGTCATGCATATGTACCTCCTTACTTTTTGGCCTTTGTGGTGGCATGGCGTGTCTTGGTCCCATTTGCGTTGGTGAAAGTGGATCAAGCCAAAGGATGAAGTCATCAACTCCTTTTTCTCACAGAGAACCTTTGTGGATAAGTCGTTTAAGATAAGTCAGAAAGCGTAATCGACGCAGTTGAGAATACATACATATTCTCCTCCTCGTGAGAGAAATGCATTTGTACATTTAAGCCGAAACCAGTAGTTTTGGTGCCGATAGGATCTGACAAATTGACTCCGAGTTCTAATTTCGCATCTAAAATGCTCCACCAATTCATTCGACTTCATCACCAGAGGAGTAGTAGAACATTTCCGAGAACTAATCGTCCATCCTCCTCCCTCAATTCTTCTATCGTGCTAAAGAATCGAACTCTCTCTCTGCCAACTGCATCATGTTCAGTTAACAAATCCGAATGAATGAGAGGAGAAAGAAACAAATGTGAACTTCACACGATTCCTTTATCCCAGAAAGAAATTCTACAAAACGGAAAGAAGAGAGAAAAAAAATCCAGGATAGATAGATACCAAACCAAACAGAAAGTCGATGGCCAAGCAATCAATACTTTGTCAAACAACTTTCACCCTCAGGTATTTACTCGTATGTATACGACACACTACATAAAAGAGAAAAATAAACAAAATCCAGTTCAGTCCCATTGAGATACGAAATTTTAACAGTTTACGCACTTTCACTGGACACTATTCGAAGTGAAAATGACTTCTTTGTTGGCTACTGTGGAGAGGATTTAGTAAAATTCTGACAAGATTGGCTCCCTCCAAACCGAAAGGATTCTACTTTTATCCTCGCCTTCAGACCAATGGCCGCGGAAGCGTGGACAATGTCCCCACGGTTATTCGTTGTCCCCATCATCTCCCCATGTTATAAAAACCTCTCCCTCCCCTATCCTACAATGTTAATGTCCCCACAGCTTCCGCGGCCACTGCTTCAGAGAGGTGTCCACTCAAGATTTATTTCCATTACATCAACACAACTTTATTACATCCGCTGCTGCTGCTGCTACTGCCCATTCGGTTCGAGATCTTCTCGACAATAAAAAAAAATACATACACACGAGATACGAGTACAATGCCAACTGTAGCATCACCTCATTCATACGAAGGGAGGAGAAAACCATCACTTTATTGCCTTACATACTTATCCCGAATGGTGGTGTAAGTAAGTAGTAGTAGGTTATAAACTTTTCAATAAAATGAAATCAGATCGAGGAGAGAAATCCGCTCCAATAAAAATGCCAAACTTTGAGCCTTTTTTCGCCATGCTGGAGAGGATTGGATTGGTGCTTAATATCGGAAAAAAGTCGATATAAATACTACTGGACTGGCCACTTTATTTTATTTGTTTTATTTTTTTACGGAGATACAGATACCGATATTAATACTTGTGTATCAATATTACTCTCTCACTTGCTTCCATTTATTTCACCGGGGAGAAATTTCGACAAAAATTTCCTACGTTTCCTAAAGAAATGAACTGGATGGAATGTGATACAATAAAAATAATTTATTAAGTCAGTGGCCGCGGACAGAGGGACAATGTCCCCACGGTTGTTCGATGTCCCCATCATCTCCCCATGTTATGTAATGTGGGATTTTCGGTGAATTGCATACGCGTTGAGAGCAAAAATAAGAAGGAAGTGTGGTACGAGGAATCGAACCTCGTGTCTTTCTCATGCCGGGAGAACACCTTACCACTAGGCTAACCGCCCTGCTTCCTATCCTTGCTCTCTTTTGCAACCACCAAATTCCACTATTCTCTCCTACAGTTGCCCGGAAATAGTTTAGAGTCGTCCTCGACTCTATACATGGGAGAGAAATACTTGCACCACCGACTGCTCAGCTGAGGCAACGCATGCTGATTTAGCGGTGGTGGACAGAAAGAAGGATGACGTCCCATGTCCTGCGCAAGGTGCTCAGTAAACATGGACGGAATACTCACTACTGCTCTCGGGGAGTCAGTCTTGAGTGAGGGGAGGGAGAATTGGGGTTTGTTGGGGGTCATGGAATATGAAATAAACTAAGGGAAGAGGAACGACTCATGCAATGTATTTGAGTGAAGCTTATGGAAGAGCTCAGCAGCCAACCAGCGGAGCTTAATATTATTTTGTTCTTCCTGCAAATGGGCGGCTTTAACAGATCGGCCAAATAACTGTGTGCAGTTTCAGCATGAGAAAAAGCTGATGCAATTCAATCACCACCACATGGTTTCCTTTGCGTGGCAAAGAAAAATACAGTTCCAGTCCGATCGATTTTTAGCCAGCTTAAATTTCTTCAATTAATTATTTAAAAAAGTTACTTGCAATTAAACAGTGTACCCCTCGGCAGTACATGGTAAGTCCACATATCTATTTGCACATTAAATTATATAATACACATGCACACGTACTGTAAACATTACTTGAGCAATTTTTTTTTGAATTAAGACATTAAATACATTGGGTTAATATTTTCCAGCCTCCACGTGTCCCTGCCTTCAAATGAAGTGACCCAGCCGTGGGGGTCACCACCACCAAGGACACTGAAAATAACCTGTTGTAAATATCCAAGGTGTGCTAAAACAAAACATAAAAATCCGGAAGCTCAGTTTTATCAATTTCCATCCCAGCCAGACAGGTCAGGCGTGTTAATAAATTAAATGGAAAATAATTTTGGCATTCTAATAAAGACTATTAAGTTGCAATATTTTCTATCGCTTAGATTCAAGAAGTGGTGTGAGTATTTGGATCTCGATTGTCAAAATGTTCCCCCCGTCTCCATGATTTGCGACCTACATTTTAAGGATGATCAGTTTAACAATTCTAAGAAGACTAAAACCATCCGCCCTTCCATCAAGATTTTTTGTGTCGCAGGAGCAATTATTAACAGTTTCTACACCCAGTGAAATTATCCGACCTAGTCCCAGTATTAAATTCATCCCTATTTTACCAAAAGAAGTAACATCAATTGCCGTGTCACCGCCGTCGTTGGACGTGTCGCAGCCGAAAATTAGTGGAAGCTTCGAGTCGCCTTGCTCCCCATCGTCATCCGTATCTAGTCCTCGACCTCAATCCAACATTTCGTCACCTGAAACCAGTCCAAGTTCAACCACGGACAACAAAAAAAGGATTCGCCAACTGCAACAGAAACTTCGTCGACCGAAGGTAAAAGTTCAGCCAGAAAGGATTATGGAAAGTCTGAATGAAGTTATGAATGATGCATACAGGACCAGTAGTATTAACGGGCAAAGACGCTTCACAGGATTGATTTAGAAGTAGCCCAAAACTATTTTTATTGAATTTAACTGCAAATCCAGACATTCCTTGTATTGCTCGGTTTGTGAATGTCATGTCCATATATATTTTACTATTTCTGAAATAAACGTACGAAATGAGTGAAAATCTTTTTCTTTTTACAATCTCCAGATATGTATAAAATTAATCATATTTAAAGTATCTGCGACTAAATGTCCCACTAATCTCGAGTCCTTTCGGTTAAACTGCTGGCAGCAAGCGGGTCGCTTTTGCACAATCAAATTGATGTTTCTCAGAGCTACATATTGCACCTAAAAATAATTCGAGAAGAATAATTAATATGTTGATATGTCTTTGTTTGTAATACAACTCAATTCTTTCATAAATGGCCCAAATGATTACCTCTGGTTCTGAAGACAACAATATACCAAACAACATTAATTCTTTAAGAAACTTTTCCAACCATGCACGTTGTGGCGACGGGGATGACGACGATAAGCCACGTTCCGGCGGCTGTGGCACGTCTTGCGACGGCGGAGACACGCCGGGTGTGACCAAACGGGAAGGTTTGACCTCTTGCATTCAGACGTCTTTATGTGTCTCAGTATTTCCAATTAATTAATTCCGCAAGAACGCAATTCCAATAGCATTTTATGCATTTGTCATGTTGATAGTAATTACAAAAACCACTAGGGTAATTATTTTTACAAATTTAATTGTAGTGAGAAATGTAAACACAAATTTTATGCAAGAGAGCAAGCCTATGGTGAACTGATTTGGAGCGGAGGAGTACATAAAGCATGGTGGTGGCTGGCTGCCAAAAAACTGAAGCAAAGTGGTGACGGTGGTGGAAAAAGAGGCTGGACAAAATAAAATTAGACGAATATTACCGGCTCTCGTGTCTCTCAATGCGGCTTCACCGCCCAAGTTACTACAGTTCTTCCTTCAGAATCTCATTTTCCCTGGTTGGGGGTTGGGCTTTTCCGCTTGACAATGAGAGGGATTGAGATCGAACAGCTGTTCCACCACATGTGGGATTTTCGGTGAATTGCATACGCGTTGAGAGCAAAAATAAGAAGGAAGTGTGGTACGAGGAATCGAACCTCGTGTCTTTCTCATGCCGGGAGAACACCTTACCACTAGGCTAACCGCCCTGCTTCCTATCCTTGCTCTCTTTTGCAACCACCAAATTCCACTATTCTCTCCTACAGTAAACCCCTCCCTCCCCTATCCTGCAATGTTAATGTCCCCACGGCTTCCGCGGCCACTGTATTTACCTAGTACATGATGCAATATTGGTTAAAATCTGTATCAAGTGAATGAATAAGTTTTTCATACTTTTTTATGTTCCTCCCGTCGGACATGATTACCCTTTCAAATGACAGGAAATGAGTTTTTGCCCCTCATAAATAAAATGGGCTTCTTTTTTGCACAGAAAAGTTTCTAGCCGGTCGAAAACAATGAATTTGGTTCATTCATTCATTCACAAGAAGATAAACCTGGAAGGAAGTTCTTGTTAAAGTATATATTTCATGAAAGACATTTCTGTTCATGGTGACATTTTTTGCAACATTTTATCAAATGTCAACCAAAACAGAAAAGGTTTTGAAAAATGATGATAACGTCAACGGAACAATATTTAAGAATTTTATCAACATCTGGTCACCGTTTAGGAAATATTAAATAATTGTTTAACTTTTCTCCTCCAAAATATCAATATTTTCGAGAAAGCTCGATTCGTTTCTTTGTTCAAAGTACATAGATATATTTTTCAATCAGGAAATAATTTGATCTCATTTCAGCCCCGGAAACTTATATTAACAAGTAACTTTACTTTATTAGTACAGATTGGCTTGTCTGTAATAAAATGGAAATTGTTCTCCTCACCACTTTCATCTCATCCAACGCCACGCCGCTCCACGCCACGCCACGCCACGCCACGCCATTCCACACTCTTCTGCTGAGTTCAATCAAAGAGTGGAGGCAATTGGGCCTCCGTCCAAACCTCGGTTCGGTTAGTTGGATTTCATTTTGTAGTAAGTGAGAAGAAAATTCAGTTCAGGCCAGAAATCAAGACCTTGCCTTGGTTGGAAAAGGGTAAGTATAGAAAGTACCAACTACGTATAAGTGGGGATCAATTGAGCCATGGTAAAGGAAACAAGTTTCGGAAAGGTAATGAAGTGCGGATTAATTTCACGGTTGGGGATCCATAAAAATATTGACATTTCATCCCGACAAAAGTTTCCTCATAAAAAAAGTAGAAATTGGACTAGACTCAGAATAGCTAATGGTATGATAGAGAAACTATTTAGTGTGTGTTATGCCATGCCTAAGATAAAAGTTGTGAGAAGCAAAGGGTAAGAAATCAAACAAAACTTGACGTGAATGAGATGACCAAAATGAAATAGGGGAGAGGTACAAGATGCAATCGGGAACTTTGCATGACTCACATTTAAGAAACTTTCAAATTTTTGGTTACCCGATTTTCATTCCCTTCGCAAATCTAATAAGTAATCACAGGAAATGTGAGCATACATGCATAAATGTTAAATGCGTTTTGGGCAATCTGAACCCGACTTTGCGAAATCCACGCTGTTAGCCTAAACGGTAATGGTTGTATGGTTTTGGCAAATTACAAAGTATTATTTACTTTGTGCAAAAAGATTTGTGCAGAATTAATCTCTTCATATGTACGTGCAGCTAATTGCTCTTTTAGACTATAATTAAACGAGTTAATTAAAAGGGAGGCTGGGTCCAATTGACCTAATCAACAGACACTAGTACCTTTTGCAGATGCTTTGCTTTGCATGCAAAGAACTGATGAGGGTTAGAGCGGTAATAAAAGTTGATGGCTTCATCAATTCTAAGTGTTTGGTTGGGATTAATGGAAAAATATGACGGAAATATGTATACGAGATGTTACAATGACCAAATATGAATGTGAATGAATGATGTGCTGAAATGACACAATATCGACCACAAATAAAATAGGTCTTGCTTTGTGATAAGGTGATGATCGATGTTTCAGGATTTTAACGACTATGATGAATTTTATCCATATTTCATTGTGATCCTTAATGTTGATCTGCAACTATGTATGTGGACTACACAGGATCATATCACATATCACAGGAGTACTTATATATGCATATGGCATCAAACTGATCATGTTGCATAGGAATGTAAGTAAAGTACACCGAATTTGGGTAAAAATGGTCCCCCTTCAATCTAATACATAATACTTACATACATACACACATGCATTCTTGTTTTTTCGGTATGACCAAGAGGTTAGGATTTGACTCGAATAAATGACATAAATAAATAACTACGCGCAAATCACATCTTTATGAGTTTAAATCAAACCAGCAACTGATTACGTTGGCATTTAACTGCATGACGAGAATTGAAAAAGATGCTTAACATGATACCCGAAGTACACCAATTAAACCAACTGGTATTGACTTTTTAAATTCCATTTCCCGTATTATTTCATAGGGATTTTGTTTTTCACCTCGACCTTAAGTTTATGTACATGCTGTACGTTTTGGTACATCATTCATGTACATATGTATATGTAACAACTTGGGTATACGCCTGTACAAAGCGGCGTACATAGAATACATACGTATCTATATAGAAATGGACCGTGACCTGATGCCTTCTTTAATTGGTAGTTTGGATGGGTGAAGATTACAATTCTTGAACATGTGTATGTACAACAATTGCTATACATTAATAACAATACTGCACTGATGCTTGCCTTACTTTCTGTTCTGTAATACCTGCACCATTTTTACGAAATAATTGGCGTTTCACATATCTATCTCACACATGATGCAGTTACAATAAGAAACCACAGTTTGTACGCATGTTGATTTCGAGTTTTGAATTCGAAACTAAAAAGATGGATCAGTTGGCTGTTTGTCAGTACACGTCAAGGTTTGATGCGAATATCATCACAAATTAATTTCATCGCATCTGAAAAAGTGGCCACAATTAGGAAAGTTAAGATAAATATTTTACCACCACCACGGCAATCAAGTCCCATTTCCGGTGTGGTTTGTATGTGTTTGTGAGTAGTGCGTTTCTCAAAAAAACAAAGATGTAGTAGAAATTATGTCGTGAGAATTTTAATAAAATAGAGATCATTTGCCTGAATGGCAGTGTTATTCAGTCATTCAGCATGAAACCTCTAAAATTGATTGCATTAGGAACGCCGAATATCGAGAGGAGGTCCAAAGTTCTAAGAAGTTATGTAATTCTGGTGATATTCGTAAGTGGCAAAAATTTATTAGTGGCAATTACGAATCCATATTTGAAATTCGCATTTTTTTGGTTTAGTATTTTTTAATTGAATTTGCCACTCCTGAAAAACTTGGACGCCGATCAGGTAAAAATTGTAACTTTCCTTAACTGCTAAAATTATTTAGGTACGAGTTTTCAAAAATTGAAGAAGTTTTTTAATATTTTGGGGAAATTTTAAATTTCAAAATTAGCTTTCTGAAAATTCAATTTTTAATTAAAGTTTTTTATGCAAGAATGCTTCCATCGTCGGAAGTTATCTTCCTCACAAAAATAGAAGTTTCACTCCTCTCTAAGTAAATAAATGGTTCCACTCCACTTAAAACGGTGTGCGCATGTTTTATTCCAATTAAATCTAATCAAGTTACATGTTCATCTTCAGTTAGTTAGATTAGCAGAGGTGCGCGGAGGCAATTCATATGTAATAAATGCAGCGGAGAATTCTTGTCTCACTAATCAATCACTAATTAAAATTGCATCTTCATTTGCTGCAAATTTCACTACCCCTCAATTTCTTTATATATCTTGTCAAGTGTTTGGCTGATTTTTGCCAATTTATTGCACTACAGTAAATCATTGTATGAAATTGTTGCAATGAAAGTGTATTATATTACACGTTAACCAGATCGTAATTGTGTCGAAATAATAATAAATTAATTAGAAAATAACAAAGTTTTAATTGATCTTGTTCAAGTAGAAGTTGATGACTTTCAATCTACGGCTACCAAATTGGCTTCGGTTCAGGATACAGAAGATGGAATTATTACTGAATCGTCTCCCTCGCCACTGCCAGAACCACGACGTGGGAGCAATAAAAATAATAAAAAGGCGAAAAAACCTTCAAACATTGTCAAAAGTTATCATCAGAATCGAGGAGATTTTAGCGACGCCACAACGTCATCTTCATCGAAAGAGTTCCTCACACAACTTTTTACCAAATGGATGAGCTTTGGTCCCACCGAGATGACTGCTTCGTCGTCGTCATCCTACATGGGAAAATCACTTACGGGTTATCAGAAATATAGGGTTATCGAGTGGTTATCCTCCAAGGTGAAGGAGTGGTGGTCACAGTACGAGTCGTCAACTGGGAGGACATTTCTTCTTGCACCACTACTGACAGCAATTCCCATGATGGCGGTGGAGGTGAGATTTTCGCAAAATTTGGCAATACTAATTTATGTAAATTAGTAATGATACATACTTTTGCAGATACTTGCCATCGGAAGTTTGGGAGTGTTTGCACCAGCCTTTATGATTTTGGCTGTTGTTTTATTCCCACTACTTTTAATTGGGTTTATCATCTTCATTTAGATGCAATTTCAAAAAAGATTCAATTTTTTTAAATTTTATTTTTGTAATCAACGAAAATAATATTCTTTATTATTAAGTACTATCAAATTATCATATTGTTATTTATACAGAGTAAATTATCACGAGACGTATTTAACATATAAAGTTTTTTGTATCAATTCAAAAATAATTCTATTACGGAAAACGGAGGAATCATTGACTTTTGTAAATATGCAACTTTTTTTAAATGACTGGTTTGCTTAGTTTACGAAAATCTCGCCATGATTAATGCAACACATGAAAAAATGAGGATAGAAAAACTTGAGAACAACGATGGAGCTGTGGATGTTGTGCAGTAGTCAAAATCAGAGATAAGAGATTTGAACTCAGGAACGCTTTTGTAGTCACAAAGACCGATGGAGGTGTCCTTAAAGAGGAAATCGTTGTTTCCAAAGTAAGGTCCGAATAGTTTCAGCACACCGACGGCTTTTCCTCCGGGGCCGAGCGTGTCAGAAATCTTGAGCAGGGTGAGTCTCACATCCTCTCTTTTCACCTCCCACTCGTCCCCACTCCTTGTCAGGATCTGGTTGGATGGGATCTTGCCCCAATTGCAGGCCTGGTAATTTGTCAGGTTGGACATTGTCGACCCGTTGGTACAAAGTAATTTGAAATCGGTGGCTTTCATGTCTAATTGTAAGAACCAGTTAAAAGTTATTAAGTAATTTATGATTTTATGATAATTTTTTAAAAATTGCTTACCCCCGGAAGCCAAAATTTTTCCGTGGAGTTCGACATGGTCGATGAATGCGACATCACCAACGCCATCAAGAAGACATTGAAGTGCTCCTTCAGCCCCAAAATAGCGTTCTGAGCTGTCGTCTTTGCACACCTAGGATACGTTTATAATTTTGTTGATTGTTTTACTCCCATTACTTTTCGTTGGATTTATCATTTTTATTTAGAAAGTTACCGTGTCGGGAGTGAAAGCTTGTCCAGCAACTAAGTACATTTTTGTTTAAACTTTAGATGTTATAAGAATTGTGTTTTATTATGTCCTTACGTGGTCCATCCCCAGCACAAATTGAGCATAAATTCTTCGTCGGTAACCTTAATGTAAATAATAATCATTATTATTACTAATAGATAATTATTACTCAAATACTAATTAAGGATTATCGGGTAAGTATATACTTACCACGGCATTCTCGTTGGAATGGCGACATCCTTCGCACCTGGGACACAGCTCTGATTCCCAAAGAATTGCGACATTTGTATAGTGAGACCGCAGGTTGGCCCTCCGATGAGGTTGAGGTCTCTTAACTTGGCTAACGGAGCATTCCAACCGGCCAATGACCGGATTGAGCCGTGGCAGGACTTTTTGCCTTGAAGAGTCGAAATCATGTTGATTATTTAGGATTTATTTATTTTTGAGATGAGATGAGGGCGATAATATATGATGAAGTCATAAAGATACTAAAAAATACTACACCTTGAAGAGCAGAAATGTTTTTATAGTCTTGAGGATCGGACGACTTGATAACCGCGATAGCGTAACGATAAGGACCGATATCATCTTTATTGTGATTCCACTCAACTTCTGAGAGTACTGGGACGAGGTCGTAGTTCCGCTGCGCCCAGTCGGAATCTAAGATAATTTAATGACGCTTAAAAATGTATCGAAATAATTGGAATACCAGACTGGTGTTACCTTTTGGACTGAGATTTACCAAATCCGCCTGACCGTTCCCCACTTTCTGAATGCACTCTAAATCTGTCTCTGCAAGGACACAGTCTACTTTTGGTAAAACTCGGCGCCCAGCCGCTGCAAGTTGTAACGATAAGCCTGAAAAAAATGCAAATATTCGTACAACCAAATTGTACATAAATGAAGAACCTGATTAATTAGTACAAGTTAGACTTACACTTGGATTTCTCGAGATCATTTTTAACACAAAATTTGATACTCGATCCAGTCGCACAGGAGGGCTTCTCAATCGTGACGCTGTAGTTCTTCCCCACACTCAAATATGAGATGGGAGTGGTCAATTTGGCCACGTGCGTTTCAAAATGGAAAATTACATCGGTCTGATTAAGTTTCCGGGGAGGCTCGTTACTGATTTCGAGCACATTTCTCATCCAGTCGGGCAATTTTTGGTCACCGGCAGGGAGGTCATTGCCTAATTAAGGATTTTCATATTTATCAAGAGTTTCTTTTTTAATTTGTGTCATTTTGGTCATACCCTTGTTTCTTAGGGCTGTAATGGCAGTTTGGAGGTCACCGATATCAGCTGACGATAAGCGACTAGAAGATAAGTAAGCTTTCCAGGGTCTAACGTGACAAAAAATACTTATTTTTTCAATATACATATTTCTGGGTAAATCATCACTTATCACGTCATTTTGCATACCGTTTTGCCCAAGAACACGTATTGTTGAGGTTTAGAGGCATTGAGGAGCCGTCCCAGCAGAGAAAGTGGTAGTCTTCTGTGCCTGCGATTGGTTGACTGAAAAAGTCAGACAAATAAATATTAATTCATAATTAGTTTAATTACTAATTAATACGTAGACAATTAATACACATGTAGCGTCAAGTCAATTGCACACCTGTCCAACTTGAAATAGCTGATCACCGCGTCCATCTTTGTCCACGCAATATCCGCTCCCTTTTGAGTTAAGCATTTTAAAGCCCCTTCATACCCCCCGTGCTTATCGTCTCGGGAACAGAGACTTGGATTTTCACAAAGCTGGCAAAGATTTGGATATTTCTTTTCTGAAAAAATATGTAAATTTTATAATAAACACTTATCATCATTTTACGATTAATAAGATACAATTTCTCACTCAATTCGAGATCCTTGTCCTTCTCCGGCACCCACGCTCCTGGGGCACAAACCTCCTTGAAGTAGTTGGATATTGCAAAGAGGTCTTTTTCCGTGGTGGGTGCGTTTATTCCGTCGCATAATTTTGGAAGTTGGTCTTTGTCCATGAGGTGAGAGAAGGGAATTTTCCACCCTGCATTTCTCCCAAATCCCGTGTGACATGATTTCCTCCCAGCAAGATCAGAGATGGATTTAATTCCGGAAGATTTTCGTACCACTGCGACCGGTTCGTAGCGAAAGTTTCCTAAAAAAAGTTTGGCGCATTTTGAATTTGCGACAAAAAGTACGTGAAAATTGTGTACTTTTTGCACTCACGATTTTCAAACTCTGCCCACCTCACTTCGGATATTACAATGAATCCCTCCTTAACGAAACGGTGAGCCACCCACATTTCCTCAGGTCTATTTTAATTATATTTAATTTTAGTAATTAATTTAATTAAGCTAACATTAATTTAGCGACTCACTCTAACGGCGCAAAATCCGCTTCGTCTTTGGAGATTTTTGTGATACAGTCAATCCTAAATTAGTCCAACAGCATTAAATAACATAAAAATGTCACTTTTCAATAGTTTCCTTACTTATCAACTGTCGACACGCATTTCACATTCGAATTTGGAACCGCTGCCAACATATCTTCGCATTGTTTCATGAATTCAACCGAGACGCATAGTCGAACTGGATTAATTAATCGATATCATTTTTTCCATTGAAATTTTTAAGTTTGAATTTAATACAAAAAATCTTACAAGGTGCCTTCTGAGCAAAAGTAATTTCAGCCGTGGCAAAAAGTATCGCAAAAATAGCAGACGCCAACACAATGGCGTGGGAACGTTTATACGGATTCATGTTGACCGTATGAAATTCAGAACTTATTTCTATACTTAATTTTACAAAATTAATTACTCACAAAACTGAACAAACCCACAAACTACTCACGAACTAAGTTAATTACTGACTTAATTCTTCTGATTACACGACTTGCCACTGCACTGGTTTAATCTACCCATGCAGTTTTAACTACGTGCGTGTGGGCACCCGGTGACAAAAGTCATGGATTCAACTCTTTCTAGGTTGCACGATACACTCCAAATCTCACCAACGTAGATAATGCACAAAACTTGGTCACAACATTACGCAACGAGCAAAAAGTCCTCAAAATTCACAGAATCAGTCAAGACCAAGCTACCTTCTGCTGGTCTCAATTTTCCTGTCCAACAACAACAACTTGTCTTCACATCACGTACTTATTAGCTAGACAAGCTCTGCTAGCTTAAAAAGAGATGAATCGCAGCAAGAAATCCAGTCCTGTAAAAGAAACTGGACTGTGGAAAGAGTGTAAATTCTATTCCTTCCTCCAACCAAATTGTAGATTAACATGCATGCACCAAGAACCTGATTGATTATTAGTTAGAAGAAGAGGATAAGTCAGAAAATATATATCAAATGATAAGAAAGCGTTGAACATAAACACTTTTAACTCGTCTGCAGTATGGTGTAGATAATATGTAAATAAGTACGTAGATGAGAAGAGGTGACTCAAGTAAGTTTTGCGTAATGGGATCCAGCAGAATTCTAAATCGTATTAGTAATACGATATTACCAATGTGTACAACATCGTCACCAGTCAAGCAGTCAGCTACATATGCAGCAAGAAAATGTTTGCAAGCCAAACAACGCATCCATTCCATTCCGTTCCATTGGAGATTTATTTTATTAGAATTTTTTACAAGGCAAATATCATCTCTACCAATTTTTATTGTGAGTGAGGTACATACACGTTGGTTGGTTATTAGATTGGATGTAGGATACGAGGATCATCCAACTTGTGTTTATTTATTGGTGAGGAGGCTGCATTTATGCCGAGTGGTAATGCATTATCATGCATATACTTAAACACAAATTTGATTCGGGGTGGTATTAAATAGTGGTAAAAAATATGGCTAGTTAGTTAAATGAAGATGTTCATATGAAGGGAAGAGGGATAACTTGACACGGTAATCGATCACGAAGTATGTATGCATGTGTAAGTGTAACAATGGTTGGGGAGAAGGTCAAAATCAGCAACAATCAATTTGTTCGCATAGTGGTTGCAACTTGCAAGATGGACAAATTATACATATGCTAAGAAAGAGCTGGATGGTCAGATTTAAATATTAAATAGGCTCGTTAGTATCATAACATAATTAGCTTATTTTGTGACTATATAGGGATGAAACACACAATAAATGGTGAGGTAGTCGGTTCTTAACACAATTTATTAACATTTTATGCATAAAGTATTTCATAAGTGTCTAGTTTTGCCTGGTTTTGGCGTCATTACAAAATTTTGAAGTTTTGCAGAAATTTGTGTACCACTAGGTTTTCATGTGATTCAATGGACAATAAAAAGTTGAAAAAAATACTTAGTGAGTCATGTTTATTGGATGGGTTTCAAATTTCGAATGTCAAAAAAACTCTCCAGTATTTTACTACGCAGAATTTGGATGAATCACATACCCAGACAGCACTTTCTTTAAATAATCCAACACCAGGTCGTTTTAATTTTAAAGTGCCGTGGTGTTATTGACAGTTGTATTTATTTCTATGAAAGCATTATTATTTATGGCTGTCACTCGGCTAATAATTGTTTTCCATTCTTCGCCTGGTTAACATTTCATCACGTACATATTATTTCTACGTGATATTAACCATCCATTAAAGGACATAATTTTCTTATCCTTTCCACTTCTATGCAAATACAAATGCTAAAATTAAGAGTGGTTTATTTATTGCATTGACAGCTGCACAAGTTTTTTTTCACGTAATGACATTGTAAACATAAATATGCTGGTAATTTGCACATTTAAATTAGCAAAGTCAATACAGCAATCCAATGGCCAAGCCCAGCCAATTCAGTCATGGACGGTAGAAATGAGACTGATTTTTTGTAACCTTCCTTCCAGCAAAGCGTCAAGTTTTTGTGGTCGATAAGTCGTAATTGATTTTTGGTGAGTAATCAATCACCATCTCGTTCAGAGATTTATTGTGAATGTAATGTTTTTTTGGGGCTAATATTTTTGAGAGGCTAGCAATTTATGCATGCGTGACCACGAATTAGGTTAGTTTAACGATGTCTAACAAGCAGGAAAACCTGGATTTTACAATTTTTAGCATTAACTAATCGATGTATGTAAGGTGAGGATGATTCGTGACGTGTTGTGTTGCTGATGTCGATTTTGATTCTGTGCACATACCTAAATTAAGTAGTACTTAAAACAGTAGGGTGTATTTCATGGCTTCATCATTTGCACAAGGCAGATTTCATATGTATTACAACCAACTAACCAAACCGGTAGCAAACATGGCACAAAATTCATGACACGACCATGCCATTGTCCTCGCCGAATTCTAAATTCATGGAAAAGTTGACTATCTCTTTATGGTAATTCAAGTTTCGGATTTTTTCCAGAATTTAAAATTCTTAAAAAATCCCCTCTCTTTTAACTTTGATTATAATCTAGCAAAATGTATTAATCCTAATTGCACGTTTTAGCACCGTCATTATAATCATCATCTCACTCAAAATCTCACCCATAGCTGTAAACCGAATTAAACCAAACTAGCAATTTGCATACAATAGCAGTCTTTGTCAAACGGACAGGTACAAAGAACAAATGTCAGTTTTTTAGACCTATAAATCTTCAAATATGTATATTCATTCAGTAAAACGAACGAAATAAATAAACGAGAGTGAATTAAATGCAAATAATACTGCAGAACAGAGATTATTATCCTGTTAAGAACCAGCAATCACAGAATCACTCCAACCAGACTCGTCGGACGTCGTCGTCAGTCAGGTCGAAAAGTTAAGCCAAACCAAGCCAGTAAAAAATTGTTTCGCAGAAAAGTGATCACATAAAGCAAAAGATGCCCTGCAGGTAGATCTGACAGATTACACATGTCCAGCACAACAGACGAGACAAGAGCAGAAGAAGAGATGAAACCAGAGAGATATTTAATTTACAAGTGCGATTCTTAATTTCTAATTCGCTACATATTTGAAGAATTTTCTTGATTTTTTGCCTTTAAGTATCAAATCGTGAATGGTGTGGAATGTGTGGATATAACATTTGAACCTGCATTATGTATGTACCAATTAGATTGAGTTTATGCAAAAACAATGCCATTACTAACGAGAATTAAATGAATAAATCACTGCATATTGCCCAAATCATGTATGTGTTCTATTCCACTTACCTTTACCATTATTAATACTGCCTCAAGAGGTTAAAATCAAGTGGTGGTTATCATCAGTATGCAAATTATTGTTGAATTGTTGCCGAAATTCTTTTCAAGTCGGAAAGCTGCAAATCAACAAGTCCACCACAAGCTGAGGCTGAGATCGTATCTGTCCAGATGCTGAAGTGTGTTTTTCATGGAAAAAGTGGTTCCTATTTTTCATTCTGATGCATAATTACTTTTTAAACAGGACTTTCGGGGGATCGTAATTTTGCAGCGGTTGAATTTACATGGATTTGACTCAACTTATGCAACACATTAAGACACGCATTGCTATTCATTTTATTTTGTAAAATTCCGAAACCAAATGGCATCCTCTTCATCGTCTTTAGTCAAAGGCAAGCTCTTTGTTGTACACATTGTTACAATATCCGAAGGACAATGGACAATAAATAAGTACAAAAGCAGCAGCAGCCACGGCTTTTCCACAAAGTTCAATTACATCTTTCTGGTACTTCCAGTTCTTTTGCATCTTCTTCTTTACAATAAAACCCGTCTTCAATATGATGTTTTCTACAAAAACCGGTTATCTATTATCTCCAAGACGAATGGACCTCTTCGAATTCCAAACTCTTCTAGGGTCAACCGAGTCCATTTCGACGTATGCATCCAGTCCACTCCTGGTCTTTGTGGGGATCAGTTGAACAATTTGTGAATCTCTTCACCATTAAAACCCCCACTTGTGGGGAGAGACTCCTTTTAACGTTTGGCTGCTTTAACAGCGGAAATGTTGCTCAAATACTTGGTCCCCGTTGCGGGCCTTGTAGTCCTACAAGTCTTCCTTAACAGCAACACCGCCACTGCGCAGGTAGACCTTGCCACCACGGGAGGAGACCTATCCGGAGAGAAGGATGACTTGGATTCTGCTGAATTATTCCTTCGACCCGTCGTCATCAAGTATGGTCATGACCATCCCGGGATTTACACTTGGCAAGGTGGTTCCGGCGTCGGACAGGGGTGGGGGGTTTACCAGCAAAAGGCCCAAGTTGTAATGATGAAACCGGCGCAAGGTGGGAGTGGGTGGGGCGAGAAGAAAATGAAGAAAAAGAAGGTATGAAATGAAACTGATTTTTGAGAAAAGAAAAGGGTGAAAAAAACTGAGGATATCATTTTATCTATTTTCAGAGTAAAAAGAAGAAGAAGAAGGTAGGTTGGAAAATTTCTTAAACATTAAGAATTTATTGTGAAATAGCATGTCTCATTAAAAATCATTTATCCTGTATTATTTATAGAAGAAGAAGAAGAAGAAGGTAAGTCGGGAAATTGAGACTTTTTGTACCCTTACCTGCCTAGTTAAAAACTCATAATTTTTTTTACAGAAGAAGAAGAAGAAGCCAAAGAAAAAGAAGAAGAAGAAGAAGGTAAATTTCATAAAAATTGAAACTATTTGACACATATTTCTAATAAATTTCATTTGTACTTTTTACAGAAGAAGAAGAAGGTAAGTAGGAAAATTTCCTAAAAATATGACACAAAATGTCAAATTACGATTTTCACCCAGGAAAAGAAGGGAGGTTGGGGATGGGCTTGGATTGAAGAGGGTGGTGACTCGGGTGGAGGTCAAGTCGGTGCCGGCGGTTACGGAGGTGGCGGCGGTGGGGATGATGACGAATCCTCCGAGGAGAAGAAAAGTCGATCCGACCTTCCTCCCAAGCCAGAACTTTCTCCCAACGGTCAATTCCCGAATAATCCAAATATTCAACCCGTCGGACCAGGACAGCGGAGTTTCAATTCAAGATGGGGACGACCTGACACGAGCATGACACCCTATGACGAAGAAGACGACGACGGCGAAGCTTACGTCGAAGACTATCAACCAGCTCAATTTTACAACAGTTACTATTAACTAGACAAGCTTTCATATTTAAATTATTTGGCTTTACAAATCTCTTCAATGATATTTAAAAGTGTGAAATTGACTCTTTAAGAAAATAAAGCTCGACTTACATACTGTGTAATAAAACGGGAAATATGAAACTATTTGCATTCTCCATGCATTAAATAAAGTTGTCAAATTGCATATTATTATATTGGATAATTGAACCGCCGCAAACTATATAAAGGATATTTTAATGATTCTGGAACCAAATTAAGGTAAAGTTGCACACTTTAAAAAAAACTTTCTCTAATTTCGGTTTTCGGAATTATGAGATTTCTCTTTTTACTCCGATTTTTTGGGCAAAAGTGCGAGCGGCCAACGACTCGGCTGAAATAAAAACAAGTTGAGACTTGTTCACGATTCTCCGGCAGAAAAACCGACAACTGGAATTTCTCTCTCAATCATTCGACAACTTTCACAGGAGCAGAAGCTACCTGCCTGACTAAAATTATTTGTGAATTATTGATAAGGTTAATTTAATTATTGGTAAGTGTGATTTAACTAATTGATTACTACTTAATTATTTTATATATTTTTTTAGTGGAAAATATAATATTTTGTATTTGTGTTTGATATGATTTTAGAAACGTTTGAGAAAATTCGACACAAATTGGAATATGGCGACGGCTGTTACTTCTTCTTCAGCTGGTGTAACGACAAAGGCATCTTCGTCTACAGCTAATTTCATCCGAGGGCAAGAACCAGTTCCCAGTCTGTTAAATCATTATCGTGGTCATAAGGGTCCCATTACGTCGCTTTGTTTTCATCCGAACCTGCAAACGTTATTCTCTTCAAGTTGTGATGGGTATATTATGTGTTGGAATTATAGGAAGGAGACGAGAGCATTGAGGTAAAAGTGTTTAGAGTTAATATATGTATGTAATTTGTGTTAATTTGAATTTATTTACTAATTTCGTCAGATTCGAAGGCCATTGCGGACCGGTGAATGAAGTCAACTTATCGAGATATGGGGATTTGATGCTTTCTGCCTCGGATGATGGGACTGCTCGCGTTTGGGTCCCGATAATCAACGGTCAATATATATCCGTGAAGGCACATAATGGGGCGGTGAGAACGGCTTGTTTTAATCCTGTTGATTCGACCATCTTTGCGACGGGAGGGAATGACAAGACTGTAAAGTTATGGGCCGTCCAGGCTGCTAAGATGAAGAGTGGAGTCACAAAGTTTAAATCTCATGATTTCATCAGGTCGTATCGTTCTCATAAAAATTGGGTAAGTTTATCGTAGCTATATTTAATACATGTATAGCAAAATAAGAATTACCAAGATCCAGAGCAGAATTCTGACTAAAATTGTTTTGATTTTTTAGATCCAATCAGTTCGATTCTCACCTGACGGAAATCTCCTCTGTTCCGCATCTGATGACAAGACTGTAAAGATTTTCGACATCCGAGAAAAAGGAGAATGCATCGCCTCTCTCAACTGTGACCTCGGGTCACCTCTCTACGCTGAATTTAACCCCTGTGGGAGCTCCTACATCGGTGTAGCCTCAAGTCAAAATGCATTCCTAATGTATGACGTCCGAGAAAGAAAGCTCATTCAGAGCTACGTCAACTTATTCAACGGTCCCGTAACTTCCTTCACATTCCATCCCTCTGGTGATTTTGCTGTATGCGTGTCGGAAGAAACAAAGATCAAAATTTTAGACCTGATCGAAGGGAGGCCAATCTTTACTTTGTACGGACCTCGAAAAGGAATTGGGGCGACTGCGTTTAACGCCAATGGAAACTTGTTCGCGACAGGGGGGAAGGATGAAGAAGTTTTGATTTGGGAGCCAACTCTCCTTCCATATGAATCTGCAAAGGACGACGAGGAACAGACTGAAAAGGAAAATATTGGTGGAAGTAATGTAGACAGTAGCAGTTCTACTACTACTAGTGAGGAAAAATCTTCTAAATCAGCAACCAACTCGAAAAGTAAGGTGGATCAGACCCCAGCAATTGTTAAATCCAATTCGAAAAATGTCAGTTTGGACTCACTGTCACGGACGTCGTCGGCCACATCAACGACCCCTTCATCTGCCTCGTCAACCTCCTAAATTAAGACTTATACTGATACTTCTTCTTAATAAGATTATGCATGTAGTCTTTGTTTTTAAACTTGTGCGATTACTTTCGATTTAGTAATTTGATTTTATACCATGCGTGTTTTTAATTTGTTATATCGATAACATTTTAATTTACCCTTTTTAATTAGATCTAATTTCCCGTATACCAATAATTTTTTTGTCGTTCCTTCTAAAATTATTTGTACGAGTCCAACGAACTGAACCTTCATATTAATTATTACTTTTGCACCTATAAAATTGTATACAATAATCGCTATTTTGTACTGTATTTTGCTACCTCTACTGCAAATAAATCCATCACGTTTACATACACAATTCAAATCAACCCAGTAATCTACTTTCCTTTACTTTCAATTCTTGCCATGATAGGGATAAAAATAAGAGTAAAATTCAAAAATAAGTAGGATACCAATTATTATTTGAAATGAAATGGAAATAGCTGCGCAGGAAATCATCAGGTCGAGATGGTTCCCACGATTGTAAGAATAGCTCGTGTCTCGTCGTCCCATGTGCGTCGTTGTAATGTGACGCGTATACCATTTCCGGTAACAACTTTGTTTGATCTTGATACTGCCGCATCCACCCCTAACGCCCAGCGTATTTAATTGCATATCAAGATCACCACTCAGAGTTGGATTAAAACAATACAAAATGGAGAGTGAATATGTGACCCAATGCCACCGATTTGCGTCTTCTTCTTATCTATCATGCTTCCTTTCCTTCACTTTTCTTTCAAATTTCTACGACAAACTTCATTTCGCTTTTGTCCTCGGAAAGTTCAAGTTCTTTAATCACCTTGTGACTGATCAACTCTCATCACTTTTAATATTTTGATCAATTAGAATAATTATGTGGTTTCAAAAAATTCGGTGGTTTTAAATTTAAAAGTGAAAATTTGAAGTGAAACTTGTTAATTTTGAGATGCATTTCTCAGTTTGGGAAACGCTGCTCAGAAAAATTATCCTGATTACGTTTGTGCTGATTTTTATGCAAATTCAGATTCATGGGACGACTTCGCTCCGATTGTCGCGTGAGTTGAGAAATTTGCAAAAGCTTATTTAAAAGTTTTATGTAACTGGAAAATATTAAATTACAGCAAAATGTCCGTACGGCAATTATTTCACGGATGGCTGTGTCTCATGCTGGTGTGAACCGGAGGATGGTCAACGCGTCTGTGAGAATATGATTACGTGTCCGAGGAAGGGTGGTTAGTTAAATACATGCGAAATTAACATGCAAAATTATCAAATTAATCAAGTTGTGTCTACTTTTTAGTGAAATGTCCCATGGGTCGGACCTACCAGGATGAGTGTAGTAACGACTGCACCTGCTATGAAAATACGGGGGCGATATTTTGCAAGGAGAAAGGTCCATGCAATTCTGTGAAACGAAGGGTACTAATAAAATTACACTAAATTTTAGATAGAAAATTTATAATGCGTGTGACATTCCCCTCTTTTCAGAATGTTCCACCACCACCTCCACCACCACCATTACCACCAACACCACATTTGGTAGACTTTGTGGACAGGGAACGGTCATCTTCTTCAACGCCAAAGTATCGAAAATCGGATCATCTCCTCCATATCGAGGACAACTTCCATATTCCAAGTTCCGTCCCGCTTCACAAAGAAGACTTGATCATCGAACCTGCTCTAATCATTCGACGTAAAACTAAAGGAAGGCATGGTGTCTCAGAGGAGAAAAAGAAACACCCCACCACGCTCCTCTACTTGTATGAAAAACAGCTCAAATCTATGAATGAGTTTAAGAATCATTATAAACACTACATCAATTCACACGATCAAGAGATGGAGGACATTGGAGGAGGGGGAATTATTATGCGGGATCAAAATGTTGATAATCGAGAAGATCATCACGATTCGAACTTTGGAGATACGTCGATATTTTCAGAGTCGAACATAAAGACAAAATACTCTCCCCATAAACCGAAACCATACGATAATCGATTAGAGATTGAATTTCCAAGGAAGAAAACTTTACCTCAAAAAGGTACAAAACCACGTCAAGATGTCATCCAAAGCTTCAGCAATAATAATAATCAGTTGGAGATTGAAATACCATTCAGAAATTTCAAAATTGCGTCCTCCTCGTCTCGCCCACCGCATGATTTTCACTACATTTTCAAAAATATGAAACAAAACAAGGAAGATGGTCGGAAATATCTGATTAGTGATGATCCTTTCGGGTCAACACCTGCAAGGAAGCCGTCCTCTAACTCGACCTTTTATGGAAAACAAAACATAAAGGAGATTGAATATTCGAAACATTCGTATTCAACGACTTTTAGAACGACGCCTCGTCCACATAAGAAATTAGAGTCATCTGATCCACCAATTGCCACGGTTTATAACGTAATTTCAACCACGATTCGTCCAGACTTTAACAATTTTGGAAATCCGTTCCCTTCATCGTCAACTACACTACCCCACAATTTTCTTTCAGGGTCGACACCACGTCCACAATTCATAAGTTATGTTACGCCCAAAAATCGGACCACACAGCAAGCAACGCAGCGTCCATCTCCGCCAACGTTCAACGATTTCAACTACTCAACGACCACGCCAAGACCTTTACAACGTGAATATCAATACCCCTTGTCCGACCAAAAGACGTCACCTTCTTCAACTTCCATTGAACGCTACAATGTCCGAGCAGAAGTGAACAAACCAATTTTTGTTAATCATATTGTTGCCACTAGAAGATTCCCAGAAATTTACATGACAAACAAGCATAAAAATCATCATCAGCACGGAAATAACAACAACCCGCCCATCTACTACCATCCTCAACCTCTACCACCTCCACCCACCCAACGACCAACGCAGTATCGACTCTATCTCAAAAACATGGACAAAAAACCTCACTTTATCTCCGACCGAAATCGTGTTCCTCTCTTTGTTGATAAAATTGCTCGCGAATTTTTCAGAAAACCGGCAATTTTTGTCCCGAAAATCAACACCGTTGGAGGAAAGAAAGAACTCCAACTCAACCGAGTTGTATACAATCATAAGGAGATGATCCCCAAAGAGCTTGTTTTAGAACCTGGTGGTCCCCCAATGAAGGTCAAATTCACACCGGAAGCGGAAAGGGAGATGAATCAGGAGTGGTTGGATGCGCTGCGAGAACAACAAAAGGGTATGAAGATGCAACAATCGCTTGGGTACCATCAGCAGCAGTCGTACCATTACCAAGATTTCAATGACCATCTGGGAGATTACAGTCAAATATCAAATAGCAAATATGACCAAAATAGTAAAAGCTACATTAATCAACAAAATCAACAGCACAATTATCAGCAAAACACGCCACTCTCACCCCAATATGTACAACACCAGCCAAAATATCAGCAAAACACGCCACTCCCACCGCAACAAAATCAACAGCACAATTATCAGCAAAACACGCCACTCTCACCCCAATATGTACAACACCAGCCAAAATATCAGCAAAACACGCCACTCCCACCGCAACACGTACAACATCAGCCAAACTACCAAACTCACAACACTTACCAAAATAATCTAGTACAACATCCCTCCCAAAATTATCCTCAGCAGCAGCAACAACAGCAATATTATACTTCCTATTTCGACGGAAATTACGCCTCATCACAGAACAAACAAGAAGCCATTCAAACCCCGTACAGGGAGACGCTCCCAATCCCAAATCCAATTCAAATCCCACCATACGCCGCAAAGAATGAGCACCAATTTCCCCCCAACGGATTCCGACCAGGTCCACCCTACGAAGAGGAGGAATCTGCCGTCTACCCCTCGCCAGAAACACCTCCGATGGACTATCCCGTCATAGAACAGCCCCCACCACAACCTCACTACGACTCTCATCCTCACCCGTCTGACAGTGTCGTCATCATGGAACAAAGTACCGTGCAGAACAATGACCACCACTACAATCCCCCTCCCACCGTCACAGAAGCGGAAGCTGACTACATTCCAGTCAGTCCAAGGCCGGACGATTTCTCACATTCTTCAACACCTCTCGACTTTGATGAGTTTGGATTTCCCAGCGAATCTCCACCCGAGTATTCTTTCAGCGATATGTTACCCCAAGCGAGTAGTGACCTCGATGACGACCACGACGATTCTAGAACAATTCTCATTGACTCGTTTAAAAAAGCGGAAGAGGTTCCACAACAAAATGAAGAACAGGAACATCAAGGATCTGCTAACCGTCCACGAATCTCGATCCAAGACGTCCTCGCCCACAAACGGGGTCAACACCAACACATCCGCATCAAGTCGTCCGACTTTACGACGACGACAACGACACCCAGACCCACACCACCACCACCTTCTTTCACTACTACAGAAGAGTTCAACCCAGAAAAAGTTCTCCGCGAAATTCTCGCCATGGATCCAGACATTGGTCTGGACGCCATTCTGTTCAAAGAAAATGGAGAAACTATTCCCCCTTTAAGTTCTACTACTACCACCACGACCACACCTCTTCCTCCTCTGCCAAACCTCCCTTTTATCAAGTCCAAAGGTGACGTTGGCATCCTTCCCCAAGATTTCGATCCCGAACCTCAAATTTACCTGACTTCCACCACCACTCCAAATCCAAACCGGTCAAACGAACCAGTCCTCTCTTTCGAACAGTTCTACCAAGATCTCTTCCGTCCTCAAAAGAAACGCGAAGAGGTCGTGAAACCCGACGGAATTGTGGACGCGAACGGAGTAGCTAAAATATTTCGGTATGACTCCATAATAAAAACTTTCAAGTCGGGCGATTCTTCCGAAGAAAGTAGTTCAAAAGGAGGGCACAAGAGACGAAATTTGGATAAGCGTGACCATGAAAAAGATGACGATAAGAAGAGATCATCATCAAGAAATAGTAAGAAACGGAAAGAAAATGGGGGTGAAAATGAGACGAAATTATTATCGCCTACCACGACGACAAGAAAACCTACACCGACAGAACCTCCCACCACCGCTGAGAAAAAAGGGGGTGATAATCCCGACTCTAGCTTTAAACGCGAACTTGATTGGAAATCTAATCTGATGGCGGACATTTGCAGTGTAAATCCAGAAAGTGCACTTTGCTTCACATATAAAAGTTTATGCCTTCTGATGACTTCGAGATGACCAAATAGAGAGAGAAAGTCAACAAACTATTAAAAATTGATCTCATTAATTATTTATCCAACATTTTTTTTTGTAAAAGTTTATTTCAGATTTTATTTAACTATCTATTTAAGTAATTTTTAAACAAGTGCAAAACCTTAATTTTGATACATATTACATTTAGTTAAGTAATAAATGCTCGGCAAGATTATTTAATTACCGAAACATTTTCTATTACAAAATCATCACACTTTTTTTCTACTGCACTTGAGTAATTACTACTTTACAACTAATAATTAACTATTTTATAGTTTGGTAGAGTAAGTATTTTTAGTGTTATATAAAAACATGATCACAAATAGCATATACTTTTTCATCTTATTTTCAACCCATGCATCACAAACTGCCACCCGTAATAAAATTGGAATTGACATTTCTAAAATTTTCGTCATTCTTAAATATACGTTCTTCAAGGGAGGTGTCCCAAGCGTCCTCCTCGGATAATCGACCACCCAAGAATTCCGGAAGAACGTCTGGCGACACGTGTGCGTATAAAGAGTCCATGTTCCACCCGTGGACAAAAAACTGAAGAAATTCGTGCAAAATTATTTTATATTTACTTAATTTTAAGTCATCCGTCATATAATTAGACCTTTTTGGTATAAGTAGCACGTGCAAAAAAGGGTCTAATTTTAATGAACAGACCATAATAAATAAGAATAATTAGCACTTACTCGATCCCTAAGTTTACTCGGCATAAAGGGCTTCGCCATGCTGAGAAGACAATGGAAAAAGTACGAGTTCCGGATTATATGAGCTGCTTTGTACTTGCATGGGAAGCTATTCTGTAATTACAAAAGTAAAAACAATACAGATTTAAATAAAATTTACTCAACTTTTATGCAACTCAGAAGTGTTGATTGTGTAAAAAGAGAAATTTTGCAAAAAGTCTTTGAAATCCGGATTTGATTCAAGTCCTATTATAAGAATTGCATCAATGGGGCCATTTTTAAAGAGTACTACTCTTAGAGTAGACTCCCCACGAGAAGACCAAATACAAGTTTATTTATATACGGACGTCATTCATCATTTATTATATTCGTCAATATAATACTTGCTAAAAGATCATGGGATTTCCCTTTCTATTGTTACACTAAATACGTCACAACATTGTAAACAATTTAGGAGATATGTACATTTAGAAAATTCCCCCCATTCACTAAACCTTGACTCACCGGATGTTAAAATTTTACAGGTACGATTTTACGTACAAAAGAAAATGATAGCGTCCTTACCACAAAAATGGTACACGCCTTCTTGATTTCCCCCAATGTGCAAAGTCGCATGTGAGATAAGCCAAACTTATCGTAATCCCTAATGATAACGACGCCTTTTTCCTGGGTTTCTTTGGAATATAATAATTCCTCCAAAATTAGCAGGGTGGTTATCAGAATGTCGTTTATCGAAATTTCCGTGACGTCCCAACTGTCCGTCCTCTGAAAATTGGTCAGAGCAAAATATAGTACATTATTTTCATTAAGAAAATTATGCAAATAAACAATTTATGCATACCATGACGAACACTGGTCGTCCAAAGTCATCCCTGTGTTTGAGGACCCTGATCATACCAGAATCAAAGACATGACGAACCGTGGAGGGGTGATAACTGGACAAATTAGATAACCAATTAGTCACTGAAAAGTTACACGTTCTGATCTGAAGATAATGGAGGCAAAATGAGACTAACTTAGCAAATAGGTGACGATACTTGTCTCGACGGATGTGAGCATAATTCTTTAGCTGGAATTTTTTATCACAGTATTTACAAATTTCATTTAAATTTCAAATTTTTAAATAATTTGATGGTCATACCGTTTCAAAGGCAGACTTTGAATCGCAATTTTTTCCACGGACGAACCTTAAAAGGAATTCGTCTGATAGCTGACATCCTCTCAGTTTTTCATCTCCTGCAAAAAAACCATGACCAAAATAATTCATGCCTTTGCTAATTACGACCAGACAAGACCACCCACACAAAAATTTTTCATTTTAATTCTATTAGCCCTACCATTAGTCTCACTTGGAAAAGTCGGAATTATTATGATGATCGTGATGGTGCATTGTTATTAGTATGAAAATTATAATAAATCTGGGTTAGTGTGCTACATAATTGCATCCCATCGGTGTATTTACAAGGTGTGTCTCGGTATCATCTCCACGAGGAGAGGGCTACACAGGTAAAAGATAAGTGTAAAAATAAACCAATGGCACCAGCTTTACCGTGCAAATAAATACTACGTGCATAATTATTCACTTATTATAATAATATTGACGCCTGTCTATCTTCATCTCTAAACAATTTTGCTTACTGTTATTGACTTCCGTTGTCCTTTGAATATATTGTACGTACGCATATAAGCGGAATAATGATGGTAATTCACAAGTAAATAATGGTGGACATGATTTTATCTAAATTGTGTACAAATAGTAAGGTGTACTGTTTGCATCTTAGGTTGGCATGAAGAATCTTTATATTTTCAAAAGGTCGTGAAATTTTGGAATTTCACACTTTTGGAGTTTAACTTTACCAAAAAATTCAAGTGACAGAAATCAATTATCAATTTAAGCAATATATATGTCGTCGAAAAGTACGTATGAAAATCTATGAGCCTTTAATTCACGTCACACTTTTAATGTGTCCTTATACACGAAAAAATACAAAAAAGTGACCACTCTCCTCAGTCTCCTCACCTTCCTTCAGCTTCTTGAGTGCCTTCAAACACTCCACTTCAGAAGACCTCTTGTTCCGACAACTTCCCATTTTACATACGTCAGCAACAAAGAGTAAAGACACGAATATAAATAATTTTATTTCAGCCCTGCTCCAATTTGCTCCAAGAAAAATCTCACGGTACAATTATTCCACGAGTTAGAAACTTATTAATATTTTAAATCTTTGCAATAATTCCAAGTTGGAATTTCCAACTCAAGTTCCGTTCCACGAAATAATTAATAATGCGGAAAATTATTATTTTTATTCCACACTCTTATGCACGGCACAAAAAAGTCGTAAATAAAACAAATGCACAATTTTTTAACTGCACTTGATCTGTTCAAGTTTTCTTGATCGATAGTAAAAGTGAACTTTGCTGCTCTTCTGGGTAGTGCAGAATCGTGTGCAAAATAAGTTTGAAACTTGATATGGATCGACTAACTGATCCAACCTTACTTACACACGGTCAAAAGTTATCCCACTATATGTAACCAAACCACGACGGTAAGTATAAGGTGGTGGTGGTAACTAAAACGGAATACTAAATACTTGCAAAGTATGTAGTATAATAATAATAAAGAGAGAGCTACGGAAGATTCTTGTCTCGATTATTTGCGAATCTTGGTTGTGATGTGATGTTATATCTCTGTTACATATAACTTCACTCCTCGATTCGATAAATGATTGGTTTTTCTTCCTTTGTTTGTTGCTGCTCGGTTGGTTGGTTGGTTGGTTGGCTAAAGGATTTTTTGGAGAGAGAAATTTTTTGGCGAAATCTTCTCAAACTTCTGGTAAAGGTTATGGTGAAGAACGCAACGCCAAGAAGCCAGCTAGCAACTGACTGACGGAGATGATTTCAGAAGTAGAAGAGGAATATTAAATTGCCGTGTTATTAGTACACCTTCGCCCACTGCGGTAGTACTTGTAGTGTAAATCCAACTTGGTATTAGTGACTGACTGACTGGTGGACGAGATGACACTAAAAAATCCAAGGGGATCTTATTAACAAGAGTGGATGAGTATGCAGACAGACAAATCGAGACTTGCTGATTCGTGGTACGAAGGAAAAGGTGTTCTTTCTTAGAATGCAAATTGGCATGGGACTAAAGTCAAGGTTGTTGTGATGGCTTGGGGATTAAAAGTGTGCACTTAATTGGCATATGTAGGGAAAAAAAGTTGGGATTAGTTGCAAAATCTGCGTAATAATTTGAGGGATTAAAAACGGGAGGGAGGTGTGAGTACTTCTTCGTATGCAGATACAAAGTTATGAAATGTGGTGCAATTTCATGCCAAGATTTTTAGATTGCGTGTCTGCAAAGGTGGAATGAAGGAGTAAATGAGGATACAAAGTGGTATATGTAGTAAAAGATCATGTGTGTATAAGAATAGTACGAAGGAAGAGAGATGATGATGATGATGACTTTGTTAAATGTACAGTTAAGTCAGTTATATTTAACTATAGCACAAACAGTTATGCACATTGCACGTGTGTACGTGCTGTGACATTTCTATTTTAGCTGAAAGATCTCGGGTTTAATGGGATCAAATCTAACAATACAGGGGAAACGGGTAAAATAAATCATTATTTGCTATCTATACATATAAGCAAAATGGTATATTTTATTATGCATTGTGCGGAAGATGCGTGTCGAGGCTGTCATTATATTTATTTACATGCTTAATAATTGCCATCTCTCTCGCAATTTGTATGTCAATGATAATTATTTATTTGTTTCCTGAAACAATGTAAAACGTGGTAAATGTATATATAGTAAAATGTAATGATAAGTGATAGATCAATCAATCGGATATTGTTTATTTAACTATCCATCATAGGAGTCATACCTATATTTTTATATACAGGTACTTAATTAAATCCTGCAAATTATTTTAATGGATTGCAAACTGTACAAAAATTGTGCACACATTCGCGAAATTTTGTTATCTCTGAATATTTACTTTAGTGTTTTATTGTCATTTGATTACAACTGTTAAAGCTGTGTTTAAACAGCAAAAATAATTCCTGCTGCTTGACCTTGGCGTGCGTTTTTGTCGCAAGTGGTTGCATCTCAGACGACGATTACTAATTGATGAATGAATTCTATCTGCGACAAATTTTGTAATTGTCTGCGTCAATCGTAATCATACGTACGTGCTGCAATGCAGCCAACTGTGGATAAAATTTGTGCATATTTGCATACGTATATACAGTTCTTAATTATTTGCATGCAATAAATGTGCGCATGTGGGAATTACCCTTTGTACAAACATATTTTCGGCTTTATTAGCACAGCACGTAAGTGAAATAAGCAAATTGCACATACGTATCTCTGCTGATTAAAATATTAATTAATATTTGCAAAAATGCGTATTTGCAATTATTAGAAGGTGCACGGGTACATACAATTACCGTAAATTGCACAACTTTAAAGATATAACGTTTTTATGCGTCATCTAAAATCTGAAGCAGCAAAATATTTGTCATTTCATATGCGTCAATTTTATTATAACGATCAACTATAAAATAATACATAAATCTGCATTAAGCTAATTATTTATTATGCAACATTCGAGAGGGTGGCTTTTAAAAATGTGTATAATCCGATTAGTAAACTCTGCTAAACTAATTCATGTAGTTTATATTGATGCAATTCTCTAAAATGACGACAGAGAAATAAGAATACTTTAACTTGAACACATTTTATTACCAATGAAGTACTGACACGTTATCCATTTACATGTTAATTAAGCATATTATTAAGTATTTACTATTTACAATGTATTGTATTTCATGTAGAGTGATTAAACTGAACTAATTTTTAGAAAATTCTGCAAGTTTCTTAAAGTACGCTTCCTTAGAATACAGTCTTTGAAATAATTCGTCATCTTGAACCTCTTCCCAGGTTTGCCTCCCTCCCAGCGTGGTGGGCAGGACTTCTGGCCGACAAAATTTATGGAATGAGGCGTAATTATCACCGTGAAAGTGGACCTTCACACATAATTTGTGCATCATTAACAGAAGAAATTTCTCATATATTTGAATTACTTGATACCCTTTTCTGTAACTTGTTTGAGAAAAATGGCTTTGCAAACATGCCCAGTTTTTGAAGCCAGTACGGGTCATTTACGTTATGGAGTCCTTTACACATCAAGGGAAACTTTCCCTACGTACATATAAAGCAAACAATACACATTTTTTACACTTAAAAGTATATTTCAAACATGGAAAAATATTATCTCAGTACATGAATTACCTGCAATATACTCAGGATCATGACAACCCTTCCAATGCTAAACTGCTTGAAGTGCCTGATACCTAAGGTTCCTTGATCACTGACGAAAATGACTCCCTTCTTTTGCGTTTCTTCAGACTCCACCTGCATAAATGTCTTGTTTTTAATGTTTAATTTGTTAAATGTGACAATTAATTAATTAAATACTTAACCATTTCTTCGAGAAGCAGAAACATGCCACATATCACTTCGTCGATCGATACTTCGTCCAGGTTCCAAAGTGCTGTGCATTTAAACGACATTTTTAATTGGCCAGTTTGCTCAAATTAATAATTGATCATGATTAAACGTTACAAGTTCTAAATAGAAAGATTTTCCTCCCAAGTTGATCCCTCTCCTTCAACACGACAAACATCCCCGTATCGTAAAGGCCTTTACAATGGCTTGGAGTCAATGTTCGAAACATTTTCGGATTTTTCCTCCTCAACGTGAAGTATTCTTTCAGCTAAAAATTCGAATCTGTCTTAAAACAAGGGTTTTAAATTTCATAACAAATTTACCATGGCGTGGGCTCGTTCACAATCAAATTTTCTGACACGTATGAATCTCAAGAGGAATTTATCATCTTCTATAAACTCCTCCGGAATGTGGCCATGCTTGGAGGTATCTTCTGCAAAAATGAGGAAATTCATGATAAATTTGATATAAATATTCCTAAATAGTTCTCGCACAGGTAGAAATTTACCTTTAACCAGATTTCGGAGACGTTTCAAACTCTTGTCGATCCGATCTTGTTCCATTGAATCTGAATCGTTCTTATTTCGAAATGTTCTTTATACGCAGCCAGCAGGCTTGTCCCGAATAATTTAGCGGCTCGGCAATCGTCCAACTTTTCAGTTTCTTCTGCCTTTAGTTGTACGCTACTAACTGCAAAATCAGTAAAACATTTACTTTTACACATGTATGCACTCTGCTATTTTGCATACAAATAAATCCTATATACCATTCTTCTGGACAACTATAAACCAAAACTATTAACAAACTTATAGCTTATCCTCAATAAAAACTATCACCATTTGGACCTCCAACCTAAATCTAAACTGGCGTCCACTGTTATCACCACGAAAGATAATACTGACTAAAGTCTCTGTAAATGGTTAAAGAAAAACAATGAATATCTTAAAATGTGGGTCAACACTCTGCAATTGACGCACGCTGTTGCACTTCGACTGCACTTTTGCTCTCTTGTTAGCGTTTTGCGTTACCTTTGTTGTTGTTCTTCGCCATCCAACTTCATACTAAGCGAAATGACTGCCAACGACAATTTACCGCAGAATATAGGACTCCTCCACCATTAAGCATTTTCTGTGCATTTTTATTTGATAAGGAAGTAAATTGCTGTCTTACCCAATAATAAATGTTGGTTGGTTGGGTGGTTAGTTGGTAATAATGATCTTGTCTCAGTCTGCCTCTGCTAAACTTATGTATATCCTTATGATCTCTCATGAATTGCGTCAGTTCTGTAAATATTGCAAGTGCAATAATTAAATTGCACTTGAATAATTTTTATGATTTTTTAATGTTTACTGGTCCGTTAAATTGTTTACGATGTGGTCAAAACTGGAATAAAACAATTCTCCAGAAGATAGAACGTCTTTCCTCCATGCGCGATATAGCTAGATTAAATTGTAAGTAATATTTTGCAGTGACTTCTTACATGCTGCGTAATATTTGCATAGGAATATGAAAAAATGCATAAGAACAAGAACGAGGATAAATCAACAGGAAAATTCTTCTTAAATTCGAAGACAGTCTTGGAAGTTGATCCGTTAGACATTCAGATATTTTGTGCATGGGTCAAGAAAAAATGCTTTGAATTATCTAGGTCAGGGATGTATATGTAAATGTAGGTGTGAGAAAATTGATGATGCAGCTCGCCTTGTCTGCTGGACAACTGATAAATAATTGCATTCAGATTAATGAATCAACGAGGACGAAGAATATAATAAACTCATTATTTTTTTACATTAACAAATCATTTTGTACTATCGGCACGTGCATGTCCAGTGTCACAGTCAGTAAACAGAGTGCATGCACAAAAGCATGAAGTTTAATGTACAAAAATATAGGCATATGATTCATAATTTAGGATTAGTGCACTAACGTGTTCCATTATCATATTACCATTTCTTTCAGTTTTTCGTGAATGAATGAAATATAAAATTGTAACAATAAGTTTTCGGCATATTTTAAATCATGGCCTAATTTTAGCAGCATTTGTATGATGATTATTCCGTTTTTTTAGACTAGTTGTGCTTGGAATTCTCATTGTATGAATTAATCTTAAATACGTATACGAAATAAAGGGTTGAAATTCCCTAAATTTATTTGAATCGAAAAAAATTTAATTCACATATCAAAATGTCGAAATTAATATTCCGTGTCGCATGGTTGTAGGCCCTAAGACTGAGCAAAGCAAGCCAAGGGAGCACAATGGTTGGATAGATCACAAATATTCTGTCAAACGACGTCAATATGCAAGTTATCAGTACCACAACTTTAGAATGACGTAAATTAATGACATTTTTCATTATAATTCGTACTACGTAGATTCGATCTGAACCTCCTTTTTCTCCCGTATTTTATCATGGGGCCAATCCAGTTCCTCATCTTTGTGTATTTTTTGTGGTATGAATTTGGTACTTCTAGTTTAGCAGGGTTTGGAGTGGTCATTCTCATGTTGGTCGCGCATTAGTGCACGTATTGCTAAATACGTGTTTTGTCGTCAATTTTAATGCAAATAAGTAAGACATTTAAATAAAACTATGCCTGTATTTATTATGATTTATAAGTACAGATTTTAAGTCAAGGTGCGAATAATAATTTCAGCCAATTAGCCAATTAAGTAATTTTAGAACGTATTGTTTCATAAGTTTTTTCTCTTGATTAAAGTAATTTTACTGTGGAATTGTTTAATTGTGAATTGCTTAATTTTACAAAACTAAAGTTTAAAAACCTAATGTTATCTCACTCGCATGTTGAAATTGATTCATGTAAATTTAAGAAAAGTACACATTTTATCGATTTTCAATTAAATTTTATTTATTGAACTGACCCAATCAAATAAAAAATATAATCTTGACACAATATTGAACCTAAATAATTATTATAAATGTTCTCACTTATCAATTTGGCATTAATTCCTCTGAAACGTAAAGTCCATATATGTAAATCAACGTCAACCTCTGTATCCGTACCGCAGCAAGTCTGCAATATGATAAACACGATAAATTTCCTAATCAGACGAGGAAAAAACTTCAAATTTATTTTCCACCAACCTCGATAATAGTCATCCTTATCGAAAAGTCTATTCATGAAGTCGGAATCTACTGCCTCATTCTCGTTAAGATGACCTCCAACACTTGTCGGAAGGATTTCTGGAGGCATAAATTCCTGCATTTTGGAAGTATTTCTTCCATGAAGGATAATCTGGAGAAAAACAAATACAAATTTTCGAAATAGAAATGATTGTTAAAAAACTCAAAAATAAAGTATGTAATCCGCACCCGACTTAGGAACTTTTTGGATAAAAACGGTTGCGAAATAGCTAAAAGGACGTTATGAATGTATGGCTGATTGATGACATGGATTGTCTTAAATTTGGCTGGAAATGCGCCCTGCGGATGATAAGACACCTCAAGTAACCATTTAAAATTTTAAACAATGCAAATTATAGAAAAATCACCTGAAGGACTGCAATGAATTTTTTAATCTGTCGCATATTAAATTGCCGAGCATGCGATAATCCGAGATGACTTAAATCATGAATCATCACGGTTCCATTTTCTTGTGTTCGTGGGGATAAAATCTAATCATAAGAAATACGGATAAGATATATACGATAAGCCTTAAATTTAAGATAAGGTTACCATTTCCTCTCCGAGAAGTAGAGACGTGAGGAAAACTTCGTTCACCGTGTATTTCGAAACATCCCAGATATCTGGAAATTTAAAATTTTATTTATTCGTACAGAAATCCATGTAAATTTTTCGAGTATGTATACCTGTTTTGAACAACAAAATCTTTCGTCCGTACGGATCTCGATGTTTGAGCACCATGAAAATACCCGAATTTAACGTGGCTTTTAATCTGGTCGGGTAGAAATCGGCGAAATCTTCTCGATACAGGGTTCGAATTTCATAGTAGCGTTTTAACTGTGGAAATTTTAAAACAAAATCGTCTCGTAACATATTTTTAAAAAATCCTAATTTGTCTTAATCACCGTTTGAAAAGCGGATTCCACATCGTATTTCCTCGCCCTAATAAACTTGACTAGAAACTCTTTGTCCAGAGGACAATCCAACATCGGATCTAAAAAAACAGGTTTCTTTACAAAATCCGTTACAAATTATTATTAAATTAAATTACTCTGACGTCGTACATACCTCGTCTCACCAACTCCTTCAACTGTACTACGCTCTCCTCCAGATTTTTGTCACTTAATTTCATTATGAAGATGTGCAGCACAGATATATATTTACACCTTTAATTATCACGCAGTTAACACCCACTCACTATTTACAAAATGCTATTTATTTTCTTTCAAATTTTAATACGAACAAAACTGACTGTTGCATATGCAATTTCGCTAATCGTTACTATACTATTCTTTACTTGGGAGAGACAAATCTTGTAAAATTTCAAAGTCCACCTGGCCGTTCGTAGATATAAGTATTTTTGGGGAAAGGGACAGTAGACAGGAAGGCATACAAAAGATAATAAAGGCTGCACAGCATTTAAAAATTACAGTAAAAATAAGACAAGCAGATGCGCCTAAGCAATGAACATAAGCATCGTTGCAGCATTTATTAAATGTGGCTCACCAACCAACCAACTGCATGGCATCATGCATTCGAAAATTGTTGGCTTTACCATTTCATGTTGTATTTACTTCCTAATAAATAGGCGGCGGTAAGTGCATGCACATTTCAATTGGCAAGAAGGTAAGGTGACCAACCAACAGTTTTTTCTTATGTATCCTTCGCCGCGTGGAAAAGTAGGTCTCTCTTGCCCTCGTTTCCGTCCGTTCTAAAGTGTACATACTTTGGTTTACATGCTGTATTTTAGAAAGAATAACAGCACTAACTAACTGTGGGTTAAATGGTACACACAACAATGTGATAGGAGGACAAGGTAACAATTCGATGGTGGTTGTAGTAGCAACTATGTATGTACATTAAAGAAGAATAATAACGCTCTCTCTTTTATTTATTCATTCAATAATGTTGCAGGCGAGGTGTGATCTCGTTTTGTGTGCGACTCTCGATTAAGGAAAATGCATAAGTGCATCACGATCACGGTATTGCAAATTGCTTAAGTAGGCACTAAAATTTGTGATGACGAGAAACATTGAAAAAGTGCAATATGCCGCTGTTTATGTAGGTACATACATTGGAGGACTTTACCTTAATTGCTTAATTAATTAGTTGTGGGGTCATGATCATGACCACTTTATTTTACCCAATGTCCAGCTTTTTTTGACATCAACTTCCAGCCATTGAGCAGTATCGACATCCTGTTTGCTTACCAGAATTTATCCAATTTAAAAGGACAAAGAACTCACGCCTCCTTATTTAGATAGATAACCACCATATTTGGGTGTGACTATAAAAAAGTCGCTTCAGGGCATTTATTATTATTTTGTGGTCGACGCAGCGTCTTCAATATGAACCACAATAAGATGATCTCTCTCTCTTTCTGCACGTGTGTGGGTGTTCGACCCGACCGGTGAAAGAGACGTTTTGACTCGTTGTTACGTTTCTATTCCCATTTTTAACATTTAGTTAACATCTGTCGTCGACGTATTGTTTAATTCTTGACAAATAATTGTATTAAAAGATCTCGTGTCACGGTTTAAATTAGGATTTATGTAGTAGAAAGAAATGTACTCATTTAATCAATTGTTAGTTCTGGTGGTCACAACGCTGACAGCGTTTAACTCGACCTCGTACATACTTCAGGTGAAGGGGTTAGAAATTGAAACCGTTTTTGAACAAGATTGTATCGATCCGCATCCAAATGTTGCAAGGAATTTGGACTATGCTTGGGTACTAATATTGGAACTAATTAAGGTCAATTAGTTAATTGGTGTTTATGTAATTAATTGCAGATGCATTCCATCCCACGATGGTACATTCCCCTCCAGAGCAAGCTAAACATGTACAGATATTCCGAAACCCTGCTAAAAACCCGGGTGGCCAACATTACCCAGGATCAGATCGACAGTTCCTGCCTCTCTTTCAAGTTTGATAATCCCCCAGTACTTTACGGTTTTGGGGACAAAATGGTTGGCTACACGACTACGAACGTGATTGAGAACTCGTACGGATTTAATACCAGGTGGGAAGGAGGTGAGTGAAAAAAAATTGGGTCCAAATTTCGCGAAATTTTCCGCAATTTTGTGCAATTTTGAAAAATAAAATGAAAATTCCTCAGACACGAGGGGACGCCATTACCTCACCCTGCGAGATAACAAGTCATTCGTCTTCTTCACGACGTGTTGGACGGATGGGAAAGCATCCTGGTCGGTTATTTCGACGGTGGAGGATTTGGGCGAGGAAACAAAGTCGCAAATATTCGAACACGCGAAATCGTTAGGATTTAAAGAAGATCTTTTCCTGGAGCAGGGTTATGCATCCTGTCCAAAAATTGGTGATGCTGACGAGTTGAGGAAAAATGAGCTTTGATGTACCAATAACATTACTCTTCCTTTAAGAAATCTACATAAATACCTGGAGAAAAATAGTCATTTCATTAACAAATACCATTATATTTTACATATATTATTTAACAAGGAAAATAAATTAATATACGAAAACCCTTCATTAGTTCGCAAATTCGCAATATGATGTTTCTTAATTTTCTATGTATGCAAAATTGTACTAAAATTGGAGTCCATGTAAATATGTATTGAACCGATTCACGTATTTTTCATTCAACACGTTCTGAAGTCATGGTGGAAAATTTATTAAGAGCATTGCAACATTTTTATCCAACCTGTACCACAAAAACAAAGTCTTGTCAATCCAGTCCTATCTGAATATCTAATTAAACATCAAAACATCTCCCCGTAATTTTTATCTATCATTGAATTGATCACAATAAAAATCGTATTGGGTTGGGTCATGAAATATCTAACTACCTACCTATGATCCAATTTATAAATACCATTCAAAAATTAGAATGCACATAAATATGCACGTGGAAGTACTAAAACAATACTTGACAGCAATTTCCCCTTCATGAAGAAAAAACTTGTAGATACAAAATATAATTCTTTCCCTCATAAAAAAAACTTGTAAGATTGAGACGGAATAAATCCCACATATTTATTTGGTCGATTACATTATGGAATTACATTGAAATTACATATTATCGTTATTACATACATGCACAGGTTACTTCGTGAGATAGCCAAGCCAGGTTAATTGGAATCTCCTCATTTTCTTCATCCCCCAAACACGCAAAATGCAACATGAACTGATATCGGCCACCTCTTTCTTATTGGGTATCGTTCTTTGTTTTCTGATCCTCAGCACAAACAATATGTAAAAACACACGTAACAATGCCGTAATAATGAAGCTCTGCGTGCCCTGTGGTAGGTAACGTGTTATGTTGCTTGTAGCTGGTTGATTTGATGGTACTATTGGTGAATTATACGTAAGAATTGAATTTTTTTGGGGTAATCTTGTCTCACTAAAACTTGCAAGTAGTTATTCTTCACCATTCGCCATTTACTTTACTTTGCTTTACTTGACTTCATTCCACTTTTGGGAAGTGTCGAGGTTACGAAATAATTTGTAAAATACTAATAATAATGGTAGCAAGTGAGTGCTGCTAGTTTGATATAATTTCAACGACATTGTTGTGGGGCACGGCATCTTGAACGAATGGGTCGACGGGGTTAAAACCTCTCAATTTTTGTAAAACGTGAAAAATTCGGGTGTAATTTTCAGTGAAGTTTACGATAAATAACTTGACATTGGAGGCATAAAAATGACACCGGATAAAAAATTGGTGAACATAAAAGATGTCGATACATCCGAGGAGGATTTGGATTTTGAAACCCAGTGTCTGGTCCAATTAAAGAATACGATTAAACGTAAACAAAATATAAATCAGATTTATGGTCAAGGTTTAAAGATTTAAATTTAAATTTGCTCCAATTATTACAGGATCTAATGACCCCCTCCTCCTCACCGTACTGGACAATGACGCATTCTTAAATGCATTCCTGGTGGGAAGAAAATTTAATGTGTGTCGAACGTTTGAAACGGTAAGCTACTAAAATAAGAGGATATTTTAAGAGTGACAGAATTTTCTAATTTATGTATGTATATTTGATTCCACAGGTAAAAGGATACTTGATAACGAAACATGTAAAACAGACCAAAATATTTAGGATGAAACCGCACAGTGTACGGCACGTTTTGGAGAGTGGATTCATCGGACTATTAAAAAATCGGGATCATCTCGGACGTGTGATTGGATTTGTGAGATGCAGTATGTAAAAATTTTTGAATTTTTGAAATTCTTCAATTTTTTAACGATTTAAAAATTTTGTAATTATGTACAAATGTCAATTAATTATTTTATTATTCTTCACGTTATAGCAAAGCTAGACCTGAAAACAATGGAATGCGCCGACATCGCCAGAGCTGTCATACTTTTAGGTGAATCTCTCTGGGAAAATGTCGACGATATGATGAGAAACGGGCAGGTAGGATTTCGAGGCCGGTTATATATTTCTAGTCAAATGGACAATTTATTAACAACTAGGTTGGAATTCTTTTAGGTTGGCATTTTGGATTATTCCGGTTACAACTTCTCGGTCATGACGAGGTATGCATTCATTTTTATGTTTTTATACATTTCTTTCGAAAGTGGATTAAAAATTCGAAAAAAGTTAGTCAACAAATAAATGAATTTAAAATTCCGATTTTTATTCATTCAGATACTCATTCAGTGATAAGCTTACTTTCCTAAACATTTTTTTGGTAAGATCTCTTCAATCGCTGCATCTTTATAATATATAATGAATGTCATATTTTGACTATTTATATAGCACAATTATCCCATGATGATAAAAAACGTGGTAAGGCATTAGCACTAATATTCTACTTGCAACTTATAATAGAGGTCTTCCAGTGTATACTCTCAGAGATTTTGACCAAATTAGTGTCAATCGATGACAAATTTAATTCATTTGAAGTTTCCCAAAGACACTAGCTGCTAATGCACAGATTTGATAATTATATTCCATCCAAAGAGGAAAAACACACCGGGAACTGTGCAGATCAGATTTTACACTTACCTGATTTACGTTGAGTTGTTTCCTCTTTAGATGCAAATAACTTCTGATTGGCAGATAATATCTTTGACAAATCTCATATTAATTAAATTTATGATCCATTGACACTAGTTTGGTCACAATCTGAGACGCAGGGAGACCTCCATTGTGAGTCACAGATATAACTAAATATAATTATGTACGTTATCGCAGCATGGCATAAATAACCCTCGCATCGTTCAATACGCATTGTCCCTCCTGAGGCCCTTCATCCCCAAAAAGATTAAAGACCGAGTAAGCAATTTTTTGATAATAAATTTTTATTAGATTTTTGACCTACATAGCATAATATTTTTAGTTTCTGATGCATGGGAGCAACTATTCCGGCCTGCATGGTAAGAGATATATTTTTTATGTACAATTAACCTTTATGAAAGTAAAAACAAAAAAAAAACATTATTAATTAACGTGTTGGTATAAAATCATCTAGAACACATTTCTCCCAAAATTTTGCCTACCTGGTTGGGTGGAGAGTTATCGGATGAAGACGCCATTGATACCAAACTTATCCAGAGGATTATAACTCAGGATGATGGAAGTTGATGATTTAATTCTAACATAAAGCGAAATGCTCAAGTGATAATCAACAAATTTTAATATTTCTAAGAAAAGTGAGAAGATGGTAAAATACGCTGCTGGTCATTATTTGTGCCCTGCCTCCTGAATCTGTAGACAGATTGTAACTGAGATATAACTGTTCCTACTTAACGTACTTATAAATAGAATGATTAGTGTATGTAAAGTATTAAGCTAAATAAATATCCTGACAAAGATGAGTAACATCTTTTCGGAACATTGAACTATGCAAATATTTGATTTGACGTTCTTACATACAAATATCTCAAATTTTCAATTACATCGTCATCAAAATTCCTAGTTTTCTCCGCATGCAAAAATAAGGAACTTTGACGTCCATTGTGAAATTCCCAAAATAATATTATCACTATTTGATTTTTAAATTATTCTGCATACATTTACAATTAGGAATTACTTTATTAAACCCGGTAAAAAAATATAAAATAAGAAATTTCATGATAATTGTAAATTTGTGATAATTTAAATCATAAGAACTTATCTGGTTCCTACACATACACGGTTACATGTCACTTATTGCATAATGCATTTTGTATACAAAATTATTCCCGAACGCATTTAGCCGAAGCATTTAACCATTTAACCACAAAATTCCTGTAACTGAGAATCATCTCTTCTCACTATCAGATTGTGTTTTACTTCCACTCACATAACATGCCAAACAATGCATATGCAGGTGACGCACACACCTACACGACGTAGAAGAATGTATCCAAGAATTTATTAGTGACATTTAATAGGTCAACACAATAAGGACCCAAACTCAGAGATGCTTACGTGACTTAAGGAATTGCAGGATCATGCTGTATGTAGCACAATTTTATTTTATATGCATATTGTAACAAATTATGACATAATAACATTGAGACGAGATGAAGTTTAAGGGATCCAAACGCACGTCAACATGCCAAACCTAATCAAGGGCAGTTTTTGGTCACTTATTGACATCAAATTACCCAATTCATCTGCATACTCTGATTGTCCACGTGATAAAATGAAGGTACACAATTCTCCATCTCATACATACCGATATTTGAGTTTGGTCACAAATTGCATGGCATATATTTCTCATGCATTTTTATTCCCGATTAATCAATACTTTACGTATGACAATCAGTAAATTGTCCCAGTTCTTATCTACAATTTACGATTTTGATAAGTAAGTTATGCATCAAACCTCTCAAAACTGTGGTTCAACCATACGATAAGAAATTTATCCTCGCAAATGCCTATTGAGGTAGGATGCACTATCATAAAAAATCTGAACATGATTATCTCCATAAGTAATCACAGCTTCCTAGTTAGCGAACATTATACAAACAGATTTTTATGATTGCATTAAAGTCCAAGTTCACAGCTCACCTTATAACATACATAATTGCGAATTGCTTTAATTTACACATTATTTCACCTCATACATTTTTTCATCAGGAAGAAATCTACCCAGGAAATTTTGGAAATTTTACATTACACCAGGTAAACGGACAATTTATTCCCATTAAAACCTCATTAAGATAAATGTTGCAAAGCTCTTAAATATTTACAAATTATTTAGTAACCCACCCACCCATTTAAAAAGTCGTCACCTCATTTATGAAACGTGCCCCAAAGTATAAACTGTATCTTAAAAATCACTCATCATAATTTAAACCAGATTTCATCATCGCCACGTAAAGCCAACAATTTTTTACCCATCCTTTTCCTCCTTGCCAAATAATAACTAAGTTTCCAATCTTCTCCCTCATTCAACCGTTCAAACGAGTATTACATACACAAATTATGTATAATATAAATGTTGTGAAGTTGGATTGTCTTCGAATTTGAATAGCGTTTCAGCACACATAGTTATGCGGTAAGCTAGATAATTAGGCGTCACGACACGAAAGCATTACTTTTTTGGTTCCCACCACTAAATGAAATCCACGTCCATCGCAGCATAACATATTAAGAATAATAATATTTTAGAAAAAAAAACTGCAGTTTAAGAATTTTTGCTCATTTATGAAATAAAGTAAGTGAGGCTAGTAGTGAAGCTAATTTCTGATGAACATACATTACGTGGTCTTACACGTTAGTAAAGTGTGTGTGCCCAGTCAGCCAAAGTTGTAATACACGCGTGAGCTTGTAGACGCTACCGTTTGCTTTGTTTTAGCAAATATTCATCTAATGCCAATTATCTATGTGCGAGGTGTAGAAAAAGCGAGCCTAATACGAGATGTTATAACCTCTTGGAGTCATAATTGGATGGAGAACGACTTATTAACCGTGGTCATTTCAAAGTCAGTGTCAGTTTTGTTGGTGTGCTGGTGAAGATAACAAAGGAAAATAATTTTCGGAAATTTTGCTAAAATATTTTGCTCATTGGCAAAAATTGAATCGCCAAATACCTTAGAGTGTGCAATATTTTTCGGTAAATTGTTGCCCTACCATAAAATTAGATACATATCACACACGTTCTACAAATACTGCAGGACCAGTCTCGTTCTGGCAATGAAAGTGAGTTTTTTTAATGGGTGGGTGGTGAACTGTTGATATTTTTGTGGAGTTGCATTTCTGTAAACGTATAAAGGTTATAAGTTATAACTTATAACTGGTCCATCTAGGCTGGAGTTTGACTAGTCAAACTTGATCTTCAGAGGTTGCTAGCTTTTTATCTGTGTATCTTCGTTCCATTGAGAACACAGGTATTTTTTGTGTCTAAAACAAAAATGAGAAGACGTCTGGAATTTAAGTTTTAAGTTTTCAATGTTGTTAAAAGTTTGAAATTTTAAATAGTGGTAAAAATATTGAAAAATGGACGCTACGCCTAAAACCATTAATATGGAGGAGTTGGACAAATGCCTCGTAGAATTGAAAGAACTTATACGAGGTAAGATATTCTTCAGAAATTTATTCCAAGATTAACGATACTTTTTTAAACTTGTCAAAATTTCCATTTTACAGATTCAGAAGATAAATACCTCAATGCATTCATAAACGAGGACGAGTATTTAAAAACGTTCATAGTCGGGAGGAAGTTTAATGTGCAAAATGCGTTTGACACTGTAAGTTTTATGTTAATAAGTCTACTTTAATGATACATTTTGTAGTTATGTTTTTAAAGTCGGGACACATCGAACACTAGATTTCAACCATTAATTAAATGTAAACTACGTATACAATATTCTACCCCCGAATTGAGCCATTAAAATTCAAACAATTCAATTTTACTGCCCATCAACCTAAACCTAGCCTGTAAGTAAATTAACTACCCCATAACAAGCGTGGGACCTTGATTTCATAAAATGAGACAAAAAACATCAAATCATTTTTCGTATTGTTTCGCAATAATTAATGATTTAATGTCATTACTCAAAACAATGTGCCTGAAATCTCATGTGTAATGTTCATGCAAAACAACTTTGACCCGTCGAAGTCAAATCTTTGTCAGTATTAGTATTCCCTTGAACACTGACAAATCTTTCATTTCCGGCCATTTACATATTCACGAGCAAAGTTACAATTTACCTAAATCGTAAATCAATACCGTACAAATTCTTCTCGTGGTAATTTGTTGGCCACAAAGCAAGGTCAACAATGCGAGATATTGAAGGTGCACTACCAAACCAACCACAATGTGCAAAAAAATCGCATATTTTCTGGAGTGGAGACGACGAATAGTTCACTCACTTAATGCTGAATTTGATTGTTGATCACAATAAAGTATAATGTACCTTCTCATCATCTTTTCCATCCAACCATTGTGTTTTACAACTCAAAATTTTTAGCAAAATCTTCCCCAAGATCTTTCCATGTGCCTGATTTTTATGCTGCTCACCATTTCCTTTTCATGATTTTATGGTTGAACTTCTTCCCTGCTTTTTTTAATTGGGTGGTCAATTACAGACATTTTTTATAAATATTCTTGTTCAGCGTTTAACGCTCCAATCACCTTAATTATATAGTTAGTTACATATAAAGAATATGTGTGCGTATATACGTATATTTTTACCTGATAATGGTGGGTTTTTGGGAATGAATTGACTTTATATAATGCATAATCTACCAACTTCTTGAAGGTCACGACTTAAGTATTTATGAAATTTTCCATTTTTAACTCATTCACGACATTTTTCTTCCTCTCGTTCCAGGCGAAGAGTTTCATGGCAGCAAAGCATGGAAAATACCGGTAAGTGGAGTGTTTAAACTAATTATAATTGTGGAGTAATTATGAAATTTTTTTCAGTAATGTTTTCGAAATGTCGCCTCAATCTGTAAGTCACGTAATCGAGAGTGGATTTTTTGGGACGTTAAAACACCGAGATGACAAAGGAAGACTGATCGGCTTTATGAGAATTCGTAGGTTTTTAACAATAAATTTTCATGAAAATTGTGAAAATCTAGTTTTAACAGATTGGATTTTGTATAATCATTAGCAAAACTTGACATAAAGCGGATGGAATTTGACGAAATTTTACGAACGGCGATTCTCATGGTGGAAAACTACTGGTACGAGCATGAGACGATAGATAAGGGTCAAGTGTTTATTATCGACTACAGTGGCTACAATTTTTCAATCTTTACGAGATACAGTTTCAACCAAAAGTTAAGTTTTGCGCAGCTATTTCTCGTAAGTACTGAATAATTATAAATAAAATTAAGAAATTATTCTATGGGTGATAAGTATGTTATCGGTAAATATAGAACAACTACCCCACCAAGATTAAGGAGGTTCACATTTACAATAACCCGAAGCTTGTCGGAATAACATATTCCTTGATCAGGTAATGTGCCAAAGTTTTGATAAGCACTTATCTATGATAAAATAAATCAAAGATTACTAAATATTTGCATATGTATTTTATCAGGCCCTTCCTTCCTGAAAAATTACGCAAAAGGGTGAGTATTATTAATCACGTAATTAACTAATTAAGCAATTAATTAGCAATCTATTTATTGTATTCTTCTTCAGATATTTTTACATGGCCACAACCAAGAAAATTTACTTAATCACTTTTCTCCCGACATTCTCCCGAAATGGATGAGTGGCAATTTATCGGATAAGGAAGCAATTGATTACACTGTGTCGGAAAATGCACTTAATGGTGGTGTGGAATTTTACGATGATAATAATGCCTCTGCCCTTAAGCAGGGATAACAACTTGTTATTATTAAACAGTCAATATGCAAAAGTTACACATACGCACATACATAAGTAAGCAAGTAAACCGGTGTAAATTAAAGTCTGCTCAAGTTATTATTTACCATATATGTATTCACGTTTTAAAAATACCTGTGATGCAAGCACGTAATTTAAACAAATAGATATGTAATAAAGTTTTCAACTAGTATCTAGTCTAATAATAAATTACGGTGTAAAATTCCATGCAAATTGCATCGATGTATGTACAAATGTATGTACATACTTATTCGTCTACGATGAAATACAGTGATATACGTACTATCAAACTGACAACTATTCTGCATACCCATTTACCAAGAAATCTAAATATGTACATCATCGTGTGACTGGATTTGGTGTGACAATATATATTTCTCAGGACCATAGGCAATCTAATCTTATGAATTAACATAGTTGACCTGCTGTAGGTTTATGTTTTACTTTTTTACATACACCAAACAACATCGCATCAAATGCATATAATATGTATGTAAATACATTTAAGAAGAAGCAGTTTATTTATGTATGCACAAATACAACCAACTTGTCAACCTTGCCACTCATGTATTTCCTTGTGTCAGTCCAGTTTCATCTATTTAGGTGGAAGCAGCAATTATACATAACTAACTTTAAGTAACTTTTAATAATACACAGTCTAACAATCCCCAGAAGAATGGGATTTTCTTATAAAAACATTTGCATTCAATTACTCCCCGTTTTAAGAACTGCTTACGAGGCGAAATTACTCTTGGTCAAGTGGAGACATGGTCCTTATAAAGATCGCTATACTGGAATGATGAAAATCACGCACTATGAGGTACGCAAGTGCTTATCTTTTATTTTCACATTAATTAAATATGTTAAGCTAATTTGTGACAATTTTAATGGTATCCAGGCTGATTATCCCCCCACGAAAAAAATTCTGGCTGATATTGCAAAAGATCTCGTCCCTGCAAAATCCAACATAACCCTCAATTCACTTGATCTTGTGGCTCTCCTGTCCTTTCCGGACCCTCCTGCGTACGACGAATACGTGTTTTTGGGCGACGTTAATGCAGTCAGTTATTACGATTCCAAAGAAGCTGGGTTTCCTGGTCTTGTGGGGGACAATCGTTGCATCTGGTGTGACCTAAAAAATATCCCATACGCACAAATGCCTGCCGATGACGCCTTGTGGTATCCAAAAGTTCTGCAAGATCCTCCAACAAAAGTTATCGGAAATTTTCGATTCAGGGGACCACAAATGCGACACTTGGATAGGTACGTAATGAGTGAAATTGCAGAGCTCAGATGGGTTGGTGATGGCACTGGTTTCTTTTCTCGGTAATTTAAATATTTATTAATTTGTTCAATACGAAATTTTGCATGACAAAATACTGTATTTTTTATATTATGATTATCTTCAAGTTTTAAACTTGTTCCTTCATGTAATTGTCAAACTACTTAATCATTTAATAATGTTATGCTAATATATGTATATTTAATTAAGTGGACTAATATTTTAATCATGTTTTTTTTCATTCTTGATTCAAAAATACGCAATTTTTTTTTTTTAATTTAAGTACCTAATTCGAACTAATAAATGAATTGTGCAATCAACTATTCGATTCGTCACCACCGGAATGTCTTAATCGTTAACTCATTAATTAACTACTAAACTACTCCAAAAAATAACTAAGATTTCATTCCTTTATCCATACAAGTGTCTTATTGTTAGCCGGCATGTCAAATCTTTTCAGTAATTTCAGTCCATGTTCAGCCGAAAGGTTGACCAAATCTTCGATATCTCGTACCCCCCACTGCGGGTTTTGGGCACGCAGACTCTCATCAAAGGCCACATTGCTGTCTGGAGTTAAAAGACCACACTCTGCATAAGGTCCATATGTGATGAGAAGACCGGTTTTCTTTAACAGTTTCCCAGCAGCGTTGAACAGTCCGACCTGTGAAATTAAGCAGAATTTTGTCATTATGTTAATGGAACTAATCTAATAATAAATAACAGATAGGAATATTCACCGTAGTTTCGAAGGGGCTGATATGGATCATATTCGCATTGTAGATCAAATCAAACTCCGTCGACTTTACACCCTCTGGCCAATCTTCCATAGCCGAGGTGATATCGATGAACACTGCTTCTTGAACATTAGTCAGTCCTTCAGCCTCTACATAAGCCGTAATAGATCCAAAGTAACGCTTATCGACATCGCTCGGTGTCCAATTTATGGAAGGAAATTTTTTGGCAAAATACGAGACGTGTTGTCCTACAATATAAAAGAGAATCTACGTTAAACTTTTTCCAGCACACGTATTCTCCACTTTATCAAGGCTTACCCGTCCCCGACGCGATCTCCAGCGCTTTCAGTTCACCGCCCGAGCTACATTTCTCTGCTAATACTTCTTTAAGTACGTTATAAATTGGCTCCTTGTTCCTATCCGCGGCTGGTGCAGAGATCATCTTGTTGACGGCCTCCTTCGCGATCGTAGTCAAGTTTTTTTCGTAATTCGACGACAGTTTAGGACCGACAATTAGACGACTAGGGCTATTATTAAAGTGATGGAGAAAATTATGGGAACAGAGTGCAGAAGAACTGAAGAACTTAGTATTATTAAACGTAGTCAACAAGACTACTCGAACTGACTGCACTTTTATAGTGTGACCTGTAACACCCAAATTATTACATTAATCAATAATTACTCTAATTAATTAAATAGGTTATCAATAAATATGTAAATATTATTTTGATAAAACTTACTAATCATGTGGGAGTAAACAGAAAATAACCCTTGACGTGGAAAGTTCAACTGGCGCGCGGGGCTGGGCAATTTGAGATGCAAACTTCGTATTTGGAACTTGTCAGTTCCTGTTTGAACTCGCCCTAAATAAGTTGATTGCGGAATATGATAATTTTAACGTGGTGTGGTTAAACCAAGTTTAATTGTGGTTTTAATTGATAAGTTCTTATCGGAGGAATTTTTACGTTGTTATCTTATTCTCCAATTCGTTACACACAGGTTCGAATCAAGGTGTGTTCATATTAACGGACGGGAGTTGGCTGGGTAAGTTAAAATTTTGATGACGTAAACTTTTGTTTCAATTTTAATTAACAATGTGTCATGCGTAATTATGTTTGTGATTGGATTTGGAATTTATCTGAGTAATAGTTTTCTATTATTTAATGGTTTGGTTGGGTTGTGCTGTGCATATTTGAACAAATTAGTTTGATTTTGTTTTGTGTGTAAATCTGGCTGTGTGAGTTTTGATTATAATTTGTATAAATATGGTAATTTATGTGTGTATTTATGATTTTATAGGTTATCCAAATTCTTGGAACTTATCAGTTGGATAATTTGTTCCTATAGACCGTATCGATCGCTCAATTAAAATAAGATGACAATGGGGGATAACGGAAATGGACCTCTTGCTCCCCTCGTCCCTTTGGCGTATCCATTGCTTCTCCGTCCAGTTGTTAGTCAGGTAAGAAATATAACTATTCTAGTTGATGCAGATTTAATTGATTAATTATATTACGGCTGGTTTACTTTTAGATGGCGAAATCAGACCCAGCAGCATCTGTTCTTCGAAGCGCTTTATCTGCTGCGGAAGCATCCTGTCCAGGGATAAGTTTGGAACTTACGATGGCCATAATTAAGAAGTCAGAGTTGAATGTGAGTCTAAATGAAGCAATTTTGAGACTTCAGGGAACCCCGGATGAGGCAGAAGGTATTTCATTAACCAGTATTTAATCCGATAACCTACTGACATATCATACTCTTGACATCTTTTCAGCGTCAGAGTTCAGAACAACCAAAAATGATGAAGCATTCCGCGAATTAAGTAAGAAATCGGCACAGTTGAAACGCATATTAAGTCGCATTCCGGATGAAATTAAAGGTATACAATTGCCCATTATATTTGATTATTTATGAACATAATTTCTGAACTACATTAATTTCTCACGTATGCAGATCGTAAAACATTCCTTGAGACAATCAAGTAAGTTAAAACTTAATAAATTCTAACTACAGCATTAGAATTGATTATTAATCATTATTTTATGTACATAGGGAGATTGCAAGTACAATAAAAAAGGTGCTGGACGCAGTGGGTGAGTACTAACAAACTTTCCATGGCGCATCTCAGTCTCACATCTTAATTAAAATTCCTGAATGCTGACGTTAAATTAAATTAAACCTTGCTCATGATTATTTTTAAATTCCGATTTCCAGCTGCGGTTTCAGTCCAAGTGTCTAATCCAAACGCTAGAGCTTTACTGGAGCAGCGGAAACGCGAGTTTGTTAAGTATTCCAAGCGTTTCTCTACAACACTTAAAGGTACAGAATAATTAATTTAAACTTAAATTCAAAATGTCATCCAAATTTTTTGCAACAATAATTATCTTTTTTCGTAATTACAGAATATTTCAGGGATGGAATGTAAGTCACGCCAAACAATACTACCAATTTCATTTATAAAAAAAATTCTTACGGTTTTTACTCTATTTTTAGGGAGACTCCAGTCTACTTGAGTGCATTATATTTGATTAATCAAACAAACTTAATTATGCTGACTGTGAAGGACCGCTGTGAATGAATTCGAATTCCAAGAGGTGATTAATGAAGAATAAGCAACCAAAAAGTGCTGAAAAGATGTGTAGTTACTACATTTACATATTAGAAATATAACGACGCATTCAAATTTTAAATTACCTCAGAGTACATATAAATCAAACAAATCTATTCTATAGTGAAGATTCCTTATAACCTAACGGTAAAAAATGTGCGTAATTATAGGGGTCATAAAAATACGTATAATACTTACCACCATATCGATCGTCGCTACTAATAAATATCTTGTCTAGTAAATTTAGTAGGACTAGGATTACCATTTTTTAACAAACATTATTAAATTGATTGATACTTTAATTTGATTGTCGTCATTATTTTTAAAGAGATGGAAATGTACTTGTAATGATTCCGTCAATTTTATCATTTTAAATGAAACAGCAGCAGAAACATTACGATGAGTCGTAGTTGCTTTATATACATATATAAATACATATATTTATTATTTATTACATGACAAATAACATCATGACGCAGACTTTAACTTAAACTCTGACTATAAAAAATCCGACAATTTTTAAAACCATTTAACAAACTCTCTGTGATTCAAATTAATATTTTAAAATTGTGAAATATGTTATTCATTTGCCAAATCGGAATTACTAATTTCACTCTAGAACCATACGTAATTCCGTGATGTGTAAAATATTTTCAATAATATTATATATATTATATAATCAAAGAGTGACCATATTTTTTAGTTTTAAAATAAAATTATAAATGCGATTATGACACTTGTAATCTTAAAAAAATCAATAAAAACAGTTTTCTAGAAATGATTTAATTTCCAATTGAATTCTTTATTTTATTTTGCTTTCAAAATGCGATATAATTCTATAAATTACTAATTACCTAATTTTAAAGTGTGACCAAATTCACGATAATACGACGACGAAGAAAATTTAAATTCAGCGAATCCGTATCGACAAATTTTTTGATTTTTACATATTTTAATATTAAATTTCGTTTCACAATTATTTATATTTTTTCATATCACTCTTTTAAAATTACATACTTCTTCGTATGTAGACTTTTATTAAAAAGTTTCCTCATAAATATTTAATAACCATGTTTTGTATCAAAAAGTTATTGACATGTTCATTATAAACGATGACTTAATTATCACAATTTTTAAATAAACATGATTCCAAGATGATAAATTAAGTACTACTAAAACTATGAATAATGGTTTGACATTCAAAATTGAGATTATTCACACAAAGATCAGTTCTTTTTTCTAGAAGTTACAAAAGTCATGAATACGTATATTAATTAAGTGGTTGAGATTTTATACATAGATTATCAAAGTGCTTCAGTGCCACTTTTAATGTCTTTCTAATAATTTCAGGTTGCATGGATAAGTTGAAGTAAATATGTTGAGCAGTTGTGTTGTGTTGGATAAGTCATGATGTTAGATAAGTACATTTCAATTTTTTGCATAGTAATGTTATTTTTGAGCCATATTGCTTCGATGTTGATGTTAATGATTAGACGAGAATTGGTCCATTTGAAATATTAACGTTCTGTTCTTCTTCCATTATTCCTGGCCGTTGCACCATTTCAAGCTCTAATTCATGAGGACGGATGGGGGTCACAACAGCCCCACCACTACTGCTACTCGTATTTGTAATGTTTCCTTGTTGCTCTTCTTCCTCCTCTAAAGATGTAAATAATGTGATGCCAACGACACCGGTCTCCTCAGAAATTGCAATTTCCTGCTCGACCGGAACTGGGGGTGGTCTTGGATCCGAGTTTGGAACCTTTGCACGGAACATGACACTTCTGATAAGCGTGCTTGACGTGGATGTGACTTGTTTTTTATTGTTGGACTCGATATTGGTAGTGTTGGACTGGTAATTGAGGGCGACCTGTGGATACAAAAATGCATAATTAATAAGTAATTCGGCTGCAAAAATTTAATGATGACTGGCTAAGTAATTACCTCTCTTGCCACGGTTGTGAACAATTGTTGGAGCTCCATTTCGTACGCAGATTTGTTAAAAACTTTGCACACTGCTTGAATAAACCAAGAGCCGCGTTCCGGATGACGCCACGAGTAGTGTCCTAAGGGGCAGCTGAATGCGATCACGATATCGGCAGCGTTTGGAATAACGTATGAAAATGTGGAAGAATCCGTGACATCAGATCTGTTAAAGACGTCCAAGTCCGTTTGTATTGCGGGGTGCAATAATGTCCCGGAATCGTAGGACTTTCCGCGACACGCCTGAAAATTAATATGTCAATTAATGGATTAATTATCATTTTCCTTCTGAATACACTTTATCCATAATTAAAAATAACGATATCATACCTGAACAATAAAGATCTTCGGCTTCCCAGCCAAACTGGGACATTTGTTTGCTTCGAAATTCTCCCAACACAAATTGATCGGTATTTGTACCCCATCACGCATGTAAACAGTGTTCTTTTCGCCATGCGTCATCACAACGACTACTAAGCAATCCGCATCTGTGTGATCCTCCTTTCGAACTGCGATGACAAAAGAAAATCCAATTTTATAAAATACTACATTACCTAATTACACCAGAAAGAAAGCAGAAAAACAACTCACCTCTCTCCAGGACAGCCCAAAATTGCAAATGTTTCAAATTATCGTGTTCCTCCACTTGAAAATCGAGGCGTTGCAAGCATCTCGCCAAGTCTTTCTTATCTTTTTCCGATCCGATACGCGGAGATAACCCGAGATGAGGTATGTTTGTGTTATCCTAAATAAATTGAAAAAAAACATACTCAATTACCCCGAATTTAATACTTGTTTTTCAGTTATGTTAAGTCCTTACCCATCGATCAAAATTGAAAATGATAGCCTTTCCTCTCCGTGGATGGTTCATGTTGTAATTGGGGTCATCTTTTGACACCGGCATGTACGACTTTCCCGGAAGGTTGGTCGCCTCCCCGACCGTCATGAAGAACGGCGTCCCCATCGGATCCACGCTGGCGGTGGGAGATGGTATCGAGGAATATTGCGAGGGTGGATTCGCATCCGACATCGAAGATTCGCAACTGCAATTAAAACTATATTTAATAATGAGTCATTTAATTAAATCAATTTCACCACCAACCATCATCAATTTTTTTTAATGAGTATTTTTTAAAGCGGGTAAAATATACTTACCATGATACCGAGTGCCGTTTGCACTTCTTTTCTGAAATGTGTAACGTTTTGCTGAAACTTTTACCGTCGGTAAGATCATCATTTTGACGACATTTGCACTTACATTTACACTTTTTATTTCTAACTTTCTTCCCACTTTTCTCTTTGTCCAGGCTCAGAGAATCGCTCCTCTTACGGGAGAAGCAGCGTAGAATTGCAGACATTATTTATTTATTGTGATGTAACTCTTTCCGTGAGCAAATTTGAGATAAGTCCTTATCTAACTACAAAAGTAATAATACGAACTTGTCACTTTCTCCGCGAAGATTTCTTCCCTATCTTTTGCAGTCTCAATAATATTTTGTTTCTAAATAACACTACTTCTTATTCAAATTATGGTATTCACATTTATTTTACATATGTATTTTAAATCCTTATTTAAATAACGGTCAAACAAAACTTGAGCAAAGTTCGAGAATTCGTTGTGTTATGTGTTGACGGAGCAGCTTCTCTTAAACGAGTGAGCAATGATGATCTAATTCCATTCGATATGTGCATGCATGCGACGAGTATATTAAACACGATATGTTTTACCAAGAAGTTGTTAAAAGGTTAGGTTTGGTTTGTGATGGTGATGCTTTTCTTCAGGTGATGTCTCGTATAAAGCTAAATTCTAAATATGCTTCAAGTCGTATCTTGTTTCATGTAATAACGTCGACCTTGCTGCAGCTAAAAGTTAGTGGAAGGGGTAAGTAACCCTGTAAAAACGAGTCATGATGTCTTAAAGACGGATGGGAGGATGGACATCATGAAATTCTGTCAGCATTTGCCAGTACTGTCAAATGATAGGAAATTCTGGACAAAAACTACCCTTGTCTGCATGGCATATCTCATTCCATGAAAAACTGGGAGAAAAGTGCATGCAAAGAATATTGATGTGTGGGTTGGTTGGTACATAAGTATGGTGTTTGTTCACTAATTAAGCAGAGGTCTTTTAACCTGTAGTGATATTTTAACTGGTTGTTTGACTTATTCTCATGAATAGGCAGGTAGATAGGTATTTATACCGAGGAGGGTTGATTTTTAGTTTGGGTTGACGTTTGCCCTCAGTTTTAACCTTGGAAGAAGGGGGTCATCGTCATGCTATGTACATAAACTTGTCGATTGTCTATCATTTCGTTGGAGAAATTAATATTGTGTTAAACGTGTTTATCACTACACGACATAATTTGAGACGTATTGTCATGTTGGAAGAGTCTATTTGACATAAATTTACTGTAATCACGCGATGCTTACCTCGATGAAACATGAACCTCGTAGAATTTGCTGGTGTGGTCTGGATCCAGCTTGGTGATGATGATGGTGTGTGGGTGTGGCGCAGTTTAATACGTAGTTAGCTTAATAGATCTTCCTATTGTACGTGTATGTACATCACATGAGATTATTTGTCATTTGTATTACACAATCTCCACATTTTTGTATTACTAATTTTCAGGAATTTTTTTCAAGAATAAGCATATGAAAAGAATATTTTGCTGGATTGGAATTTTGGGTCAAATTAACATAAAAATGCCGTACTTTCCACGTGTAGAATACATACATATGTATTTACATGTGTACTTCCTATATATGCAGATCCCTCATGTACCTGAGTCATCTCATGTTACATCCTCCTGAAAAATCCCCTAATAATCCTTGCTGCTTACTGCATTTTCTAATTTCATCACACTTATGTGCGTGTTAACCAAAAAGGTACAAAACTTGGCCAGACTCATCAGCATCAACGTTTCATCATTGTTTGAGGAAATGAAACGTTTTCTTTCTTGAATAACTTAGTTGGTCAGTGCACCGGCTGGACATTCAACAACTTTCACTAAAAAACATAACCCAGTGACACAAGGTCGTCAGGTTAAAGATCTTCAGGTACCACTGTAAACGTAGATTGAGGATGAGTGATTTGTCCGTTACCATGTTTGAACTTGTCTCTTCCGTTATTAGATGACTCACACTTCTTGTTTAGCAAGTCTATGATGTAAACCTGCTTACAGTTGTATAAGACAACTCGCATTTTCCTTCCGTACTATAAATAAATCTCGCCATCATTTCCACCATGCACATTTTTTAATCTGTCGTTTTATTATTACACATACACAAGTCGCTCGCTTATGTAATGCCTTCCGTACAATATGTTTGAAGTCTGTGTCAAATCTAGATCTTCGTCAAAACCTTTTTGGTCGTAGACACTCGAATGTGGAAATCCGGGCGGTCTGGGGATCACGTCCATCATCGGCATGCGGTGATACACCGAGGTGGAACAGATCGCTAAAGAATCCAACGCTCGGGTGATATTAGTTCCTCCAAAAACGATGGGGATAAAAGATGACAGTTGTCCGGGATGCAGCCTGATTAAAAATATTCGTACATACTTAAAATTATTACGCACATTTTAATTTTACACTCACCATTCCTTCGTTAAGGGCTCATCATCCAAGTACATTTCGTTAAACAAGGGGATAAAATCATCTATAAAATTTTCTTTAGAATCCAACGCTACGTGACATACGGAAGCCACCGTGTTAAACACCAGCCAAATCGTCTCCATCACGGGAGAAAGAGCTGGATATGGTTTTAAACGGTGGTCGTAATAGTGATACTTTTCAGAAAAAGAGGGATGACCTCTCAGATCCTCGGTCGCCGTGAATGCATACTGATAACCAGAGATAAGATAACGTACGCAGTAATTAATTACAAGTAATTATGTAAAGAGGGTAAGTTTTACCTGCATAAATTCCGCTGCAACTTCCGGTTTGGATAAGATCTCATTGCAACTTTCTGTCGCATCAATCATGAGTTCTAGGTCGGTACTATTTTCTTGCAAGCGACCCTTCGACCCCTTCGACCAGACGATCTTTTCCGCCATGAAGATGTAGTATTCTCGCATCATAGCTAAAAAATCGTGATCGACGACGGTATCGGGACAAGTTAGGAGCACTGTGTCAAACGCATTGTCCAGAAGATCCGTTCGCCACGAGTGTTTCTTATCTTTCGGGTAAAATAGTTGGAAAGGGGAGGAAAAATCGGACTGGACCCGCATTTCTATTAAGTGCAAAAGGTCACTATTTTGACCGCATTTCGACACTGGTGGTGGATATATGGGGGGAATTAGCCATACATCTTCGGGATCACTGGGTACATAAACGTCTTCAGTGATGTTGGTTATATTCGTGTTTCCTAAAATTCGGAACAAAATTGGAAATTAATAAATCGTTGGGACGAATGTAATCAAGGGGTGAAACCAGTGTGCAAACATTTTTGACCCCAGTAACTGGATGTCAAAATAACTTATTCCTTTGGTTAGCTTTTGAGTCCTCACATGCCGTTCTAATTTTAAAGAATCATGACCTCTGACCTATATTTGACCCATATTCTAATCAGGTCTGTGCCTTGGCGTAAATAGGTTAGGTTTCAAGTTTATATGCTGCTACGTTCCCGACTTATCGGACCAACAGACAGACAGACGAACGAACGAACATAGCAATCCTATAAAGTGGTTTCATCCCTTGATAATTCTTGACGTCGAAATAGACTAAAATTCATCCACCTAATTTTTTATTTTCCACTCTCACGAACCTTGAGCTGTTCCAAAGTCCCAGAGCCGAATTTCCTACAGTCGTCGACATACAAATTTTTTTCAGGAACGGAATGATTTGCACATCCCAAATATACTTCAGAGTATAAGTTATCCTTGAAACTAGGTCCATCCGGAGAACTTATCTGATTGTACATCTTTATGCAGATCGTGTCCTTCGATGCTTTTCCGGCCTGCTCATTAAATACACCATGAATTTGAATTGGCAAATCGGCTATCATATAAAAATTGGCTTATCTCACTTTGGATCCAGGCCGGAGACAGTACCGGTTTCCAGTTCTGGCAGAAATCACTGTGTAAGGTTTCTCCCCATGAATTATTATCGACTCCAACCGTCCTTGTATTCTGCTCGTGGCTTCCCGTAAATTTTTGCGGAAAGTTATCGCTACAAAAATTTGGTGAAAGTATCAATTTAAATTTCATACACCTACAAATTTATCATTTTCTCTGACCTTGCCCTTGAAGATAAGGCTCAATAAATAAAGCAATCGATGAGTCGTGAATCGATCCCTGTAGCGGGGTTGCTAATTGCATGGATTGAAACTGAAACACAACCATTGTGAAAAAAATATTACAATCAATGTTTATGATAAGTACTTATCACCAAAAATATAAGGTACTTTAGCCGGAGGAAAGCAGGCATCGACCCCACTAATGAGACGCATCATATCCACCTTGGGTACAAAATAATCCGCCAGTCCATACACGAGAAAACTGCACAAATTACCATTTCAAAAGTGAAAGTACATATTTACATGTAATGAATTTAATTAAAAATAATTAACTTTAATTAATCAACCTACGTCCCCGTCACACAAATCTGACCCAGCTTGGGCAGTCCGTAGTGTTTCTGAAGTGTTGTTAAATTAGCCCACATGCCAGGATCCTCACTAAACGTGGCGAAAGGTGGCTTCTTATTTGTATCCGGATACGCGTGAGCATTTGCATGTTTTTCTGGTATGGATTTAGCAAAAACGGATTGAAGACAAGAACAGGACAGGATGGTGATAAGGATGGAAATGTAAATACTGGGGCTCATCTTAATTAAAAAGTTGCACAAAAATGATCGTAATCAATACATTATTCACTTCCTCATTTCAACATTTGACAGTGCTAAATAATCAAAATGATTGCACTTTGTTTACAAATTCAACACAACAATTCCAAGAAGTCGCCTTGTACCTAAAGTTATGCAAACTCTAGAAGTAAATAAATTATGTGATTGTCCTCAATCAACTAGGTTCCATATGCATTTCGTCCTTTGGGCATCTTGACTTTGATTTTTTTCTTCATCATGGACCAATTTAGGGGACCATGGTCAATTTTATTACTTTGCTTTCTCCTTAATTTCCCACGTAATGAAAAAATAAAATACCGATTAAATTTACCCCAATTTTATTTTTCTAAAGCTTCAAAAACATAATTTCAGAAATCTACTGCGACTACTACTCCGACTATTCACCCGATGGATTGGTAGACATGCGATCAAACCGAGTGGAAGATCATCCCCCCGATCAACCAGTAGCAACGGTGACCGGGATTGAAACTCCCCCTCCCCCTGGTCCTTCAGGGCCTCCAACACTTGAACAAATCCACAAAGAATACGCCCTCAAATGGAACTCGATTCGGGAAAAGGCTACCAGAGAGAAAGTTCCTAACGCCCAGTTTACAGCCAAAGTTCAAAGCTGCGCCGCCAAGTTGGCGAATTGTACGAAAGAAGATTATGAGGAGGGTAAAGGCTTATCTGCTGTAATGCATATCTTGATAAGATAAGATGACATTCTTTAACATTCTTTACCTAAAATCCTATTTAGGAGCACTTTGCTACCTGAGATGCTTGCTGGAAGGGAAACCATTCCTGAAGGTGATGTCAACCGCAATCCGAGACACGCTTAACGACCTCTGCGCCCCCATCCATACCATTTTCTACGAAGTTTTTAAATCCGCGCAGATTGGGGCTGGACATTTGAAAACTTATGCCAAATTTAACGAAGCTTTGGGCGTTAACCCAAATTTTGGTCATGACACTTCAAAGGTTTCGGAAATTATTATTTGCAAAAATCTAAATCCGAACTTGTGCTAATTATTTACATAATTTCTTAGTTGTCCTTGACCGTTCTGGTCGCAATCATAAAATACAGCGTGACAACTTTAACCCCATTGAGACGAGTTCTCATGCAACTGGAGACCTCCCTCAACGCTCAACATGAGGACAACGACTACTTGGCCATAGTCAATCCGACGTGTCGAGTTTTACAAATGTATGACGCTGTGGAAGCCATCGCGGAAACTTTGTACAATGACCAAGCCACGTCGGACGTTTTTACCCCCGGGTAAGACGCGTTTATCTTTTATTTAGTGTAAATACCAGGATTTGACTATCATTCATCATGTCCGTGGGTAATACGCTACATATAAGTAAATATATGATATGTACGGCACATTTCTGTAATTATTCCTTTGGACCCAAGTTTTTCATTTATGGATAATCCCCATGATTGCTTATCTAAAAACGTATAATCAGTCTGCCTATTAATACCAAGGCTCTGAATTTTCTATCCAGATTTGCCCTGTTTTCCTCCGTCAGCAAGTACCTCTCGTCCAGGGTGACGCACCATATGACCGTGTTGCGTGAAGGGATGAGGATGTTTACCGGAAAGGCGATGGGGTTATCATGCTCCGGAGGTGAATTCATAAAATATCCTTCAAATTTTTTATGCATAATTTATCTCTTGATGTACAGATACCCCATCCGGAAATTGTGACAATTTTGGACGATATTCAATTCCCGGATTTCCAATCCCTCCCCCCATCGGTGGCAATGACTATGTCAGTATTGCCAATCCTGCATGTCCACCTACTGCGTCTCCTGCTCCTGCTGGTCCTTCTGGTCCTCCCCGTCCTCTTCCTGAATCGGACGGATGGTTGCCCATTCAGCCCATTGGAAAACCATCAAAGCCGACAGCAAAGCCAACAAAGCCACCAATAGGAAAACACGAAGTAGACCCAGAGGAATAATTCATACTAAAATTATTATCAGTAGCATATATGGCGACGCATTTAAATTTAATAAAGAAATAAGGCTGTTTTTCAAAAGGGGATTTTTTTTTACTGTCAACTGTGGATTTTCTTAGCATATGAATCTACTTATGTAAATATGGATCTTCGGAAAAATGTCATAAAAATTGGAAGGAACACACTGAAATATTTTGTCTTTGCAATTAATTAAATTTTAAACTACTTCTTGTATAAAATTTCGTTAATTAATTCAGTTTTCAGTATACATAAGTGTATTTGTTTTTTTGGATGCAATTAAAAATGGTTTATGGTTATGGTAGGAAATCTACCATTTTCTGTACAATGTGGAAAGAAACCCCAAGATAGGAAGTTGCACTCCAGATTTGATTACAAATCGAAAGTTAACACAAGAAGTGTGAAATAATGGGCTGAGTTTTGTAAAAGCTATAAATTTTGGTTCTTTTCAGAGTCGTAAAACAAATTGAATCACTGTTTCTCTGGATTACGGAAGGCTAACAGCATCTCAACGCTCGAGTGTCTCACGCATTTACTGATAAAGTTTGTGATGACGCGTTCATGTAAAAATGGTCAGAGTTAAAAATCAACCACATCGAATTCTGAAATCCGTATTCAATGATAACGCGTTAAGAAATACTTAACATCCAGTACATTCTGTAGAGAAAGGAACTTGCGACACGCAGTCTCACATTTCCCACATCACTATGTACTACTCCCTGTGTTGGGTTTAGGTATCTTTTTGCAGATCAGTCAGTCTCACTCAAGTTGACTAACTGATTCTGATTGTGAGACTGACTCTCAGTCTTCGGCCACGGATCTAATTATTTACCAACTTTTGGGCTGTTTCTTCCTTGACAGACGATCTCTAAGCACCAATTCTTGACCCTCTCCCTGAAGGAAAAGAGTTGGAGGAAATCTACTGTTTTTTTGTAATTTCTTAATTTTTTCTCTCTTATCCTTAGTTTAAGTTTTACTGAGGTTTACTGATTCATTTTGTGCGACTCCTGTAACTTTTAAATACATGAACTCTGCGATACAATACATATTTCACTGCTGCCGTTAATAAATGAAAAAATCTCTTAAGTACTTTATGACTTATTCTGACTTACTCACTACTCTAAACCCTTACTGATTGTTACGTGAGGGCAGAACTTCTCAACTAATCTCCTTCGAAGGGTATCGAATTGAATGGCATTCAGTTTAAAGCCGTCCAGAATTTTTTTTTGTTTCTTTAAATCATCGATGCTGCAGTGCTGCACTGAACTTCATCAGCACAAATTATGTGACAACTTAAACTTGTTAAATGCTGTGGGTATAAAATGCAGCCGTTTGACATGGATTTCTGCATTTCTAAGCAGTCCTTCTGTCGAGAACAAGCCTCCTCCAGTTTCTTGGAGAAATGTGATGTGCCCGTTGGATGAACTTTATTTTAAGCAAGTTCATTCATCAGCATATCATTTTTATCCAAGAAGACAAATCAGCTTTACTAAAATGCGAATATTTCGCTGAAGGAAGACTGGGATTTTCGGAAACGACTAAATTATGCAAAGCATGAAATTATTGAAATTATGATGCAACAAACTAGAGTTTTGATTGATGGACGACTAAATAATATGATGAAATAGCTGCAACTCATTTTTAAAAACGCTTTATGAAATTGGAGACGATGATCGTTTTTTAATTGTTTTTGGTGCACTGCTCTTTGTCTCTCTTTTCTGACCAGCTTCAAGACAAGAACGGTGAATGAAAAGTTGTTTTGCACTGCACTTCCACGAATTTTGTAAAAGTTATTATCGCGAGTTATTACGTTGGCCATTTCATGATGAGAATTCATCAGGTTTGATAAACAAGGTGCATAATGTTGGGCCAGTACGGAATTCGTGGCGTCTCCCAGATTGATCTAAAATGAAGCAAGCTGCTAAAATTTGACTCTCATGAAGTGCAGAACTTATAAATTTGTGTGAAATCTATGCAAATGTTTTATGGAGCACATTTCACAATGTTACAACTACGAAATCGATTGTTATATACAACTCTATGTACGAAATGCACGCTGTTGCAAAATCTTTTCATGACACTTTCTTATTTTAATTAGAATTTTGGTCGAATCGAAAGTTTCTTTAGTATTTCTTTATTCATACTAAATGTCAAGTAATCTCCATGTAATGTATTATTACATACATACTTATAGTACAATTCACTCAATTGAAGCACACAAATCTTGGGAACTATCACCGTGTCTGTCGATTAACTCGTCCCTTAAACTTATCCGATCGAGTTGACATTTTGCACACATGTGGTATGAATCATAGGAATTAACGGACTTATTAAATTAAATAAACGGCCAATGTTAAAACTGGACCTCAAAAAATGGCACGTATGAATTAGATACATATTAAATGAGTATAGATGTGATGTGGTATGTATAGCAAAGGTAAGAAGAGAAGACTTAAATTATCAGCTAATCCACGTACAATTAGGAAAAAAATTCCTCGTCAGCTCCATTATATTTGGGACTTTTCGAATTCTGAATACTTTTCAAAGATATTGCTCTAAGCTTATTGTAAAGTTCTTCTTTTCGAGCATCAGGCTGGGACAGTATTTCCTTGCGTAACCTAAAACCAAAAACACTTCAATTAGATTTTATTCTATAATCCCGTTGTTTGTTAACCTTAAATTTAGTTTAGTTACAATGAAAGAGCAGTCTCGTCCTCTTTCGCCTGGGCCAATGCCTTCTCAATAAGTGGCATTAAACATTTGACCTTTAACGTGGAGGGGTCGAGCTTCTTCAATTCCAAACTAGTCTCGTTGTAACGTATCTAATATTGCACAAAATTAATTGTGTTAACTCACGCATAATATGTAATATTAGGTTGTATGTAAACAATTTTTTAAACGTTAACCTTAAACGACGTCAACTCCTTATCGAGCGTACGAAGTCGTTCCTCGTATCCATTCAATTTTTCCAAGTTCTGAAATCGAAATCAGATTGAAAAATTTTCAATGAAAATCAAATTAGACATTAATCAATCTATGTAACTGTTTTAGCACAATCCATACTCACGTTACGATGCAGATCCACTTCTGCTTGAAGGGTCTTTCTTAAGTTCTCCTTATCCGCGATGATGTCCTCAAGTTGCTCAAGGTTCTTTTGGATAATCACACTTTGTCTGGAAGGAGTCGCTTCAATTTTCGCCATCGCCTCTTCAACTTCGGCTAACAGCGCTTTGCTGGGTTCGCTGTTGACTTTCAGATTTTGTAGGACAGGGTCCAGGTCCTTCCATAACATGGACTCGGTCACATTTTTCACTTTTTGTTGCAAGTCGCTAAAACGTTCTTCCGTAATTGGTTCGTGGCTAATTTTGTGAACCCTTGCAATCAAGGAGACCAATTCTTCGCCTCCCTTAAGCAACTTGGAGGAGTTGTGACCTACTGCTTCCATAGTTTATAATTGCTAATTAATTTTTTGACGGTAAAACGAAAATTTGTAATGAAGCAGAGCAGAATTAGTCAGAGTTAGTCAATCAATCATCAAAATTTTAGGAATGAATCGATCATACGAACCGAAAATTTTAAACAAGCGCAGTTCTGGGGCATTGTAAGAATTTACTCCAAACAATTCCAACTATTTGTCAATAAAATTTTTGCAAATTCAGATGTGCAAAATCGCAATTTTTTTCGATCAGACTGAAATTAAAGAAAAAACACGATTGATAACCATTTTTTTCAAAATGAGTAAGTTTGCCATTTATTCTTTCTTATAGCATAAATGTGTGGGCATCATTCAATTTTTGACAACCATTTCATCTTTTCATACTCAAGTAAATAAATAAAAGTATGCAATATGTTGGGTATAATACGCGTTACTATTATAAATAATTACACATTTTATTTGCCTATTAGCTCATCTGAATCATATCATCATCTACACTTAGCTTAACAAGAACAACAACAATTAACGAACCATTCATGAAGAAACTACATCATGAATTTTTAAGGTATTATTAATTTTACATACAATTTTTTCTTTGACACGGGCGACAACTCTGTAACATCATCGTCTTTAAACGTACTCAACTAAAATTTACAGCTTAAAACGCATTTGGCTTCTCGCTTTTTTCTTAGAATTTATATAAATTACTCCGGAATACAAATAGAATTTTAATAATACTCTTATCGGTCTGGGCATTTATAAGTAGAGGAGTTATAGTGAGAGAGTGAGAGAGAGATAATGATGGACCATTAAAATTTGTTATTTTCTTTGAATTTTTGATTCGCTATTAATTTGATTCTCCTTCCGTTAATACGCAAATATTGCTACAAATCATGTCATCCCTATGTAAATATCTAAATTATCAACTAAATATAAATGTAAATATTCTACTTAGGTATCAAACAGGTTTTTAAATAACAATACGTGACTGACTCGACTGTATTTAGTGGGATAATGTAAATGATTGTAAATATTTCTTATTAACCACCAGCAAAATATTTCGGTAGCCGCAGAAGCGGCGGCGGCGGAGCGGTGGTTATATAATAATTAATAAGTATGCATACAATAAAATAATAAATAAATCAAAGTCTTTCGTTCAATAATTAAATATATATAAGATACCCGACAAATTGCATCAATACCCAACTAAACTAAAGTAGTAGTACAAATGTGAAAAAAAATCACCAACAGTCTCACATAAATTATAAAATAAAAACTAAGTTTTTGATTGTCACAAAGTAACAAAAATTAAATTGTCAAGTCATTAAATGGCACTAATTTTGCAGAACATGTATAGTATTCCGTAGTTCTGATTGAACCAAACTAGTCGCACACTATGCATCTTTTAAAAATAACGTCTCGCTCATTACAAGAACGCACAGTTATAAAATAGCGTGTGCAATAAATAGGTTTAGTCAAAACTCGGAAGTTATTCTGCCAAATAAATATAATAATAACTGGCGTAGAAAACAATTTGTAAATAAAAATAAAATCACAAAATTAATAATTGGTATATCATTTTTCGTCACTAAACAAAACAACGTTTTAATAATGAGACCTTTTTTCTTGCCCAATTATGGAAACTAAATATTTAAATATTTTCATGAGTGTCGCCACTACACAAGTAATTTGAACTTGTTGTTTGAGATCACAATGACCTAACTTATAGATAATAATGACAATAAATGAATCTGATACGGCTTCATATCTAATAATAATAATGTAGAATAGCCTTGCCTACATATTTTTACGACTAATTTGTATCGTATAAATTTTTCCAGATTTTCTTTGTAGCAAGTGTAATTGAGTTGAAAATATTTTGAGAAAATATTTAATCATCTTCTTCGTCAAGGTTTATATATATATATATTTAGATAGAAGGTATCATCGTCAAGTGGGAATTTTATTTTACTACGGTCAAGAAGAAACGCCAATTACGGGAGCAGGGACGGGATTTGTTTTATTCTCAGGTGACGATTTGTTGTCTGAATTTGTAACGTTTATTCGATCCCGACTCCTCGCCCGATCTGAGCGATGATGATTATGATTATTATGGGACGAAGAATGGGATGACTTTTGACTCGAGACGCTTGAACTTCTCTCATTGCTGGTGATACTGCTCAGGGAAGAGGCAGACGATGAGGACGAGTTGCATTGTCCGGTTAGCTGATTAACACTTAACGGATTGTTAATGTCATGAGGATTCGTCCCGACTGGATTTCTTGCCGGCTTTTGAAAATTTGGTAGGTTTAATCCTATCGGAAATGGGAATGGGTAGCCCATTCCACCGTTTGGAACAGACGAACCGTTGAACAAGTGACCCAGCCCAAAGCCAAAGTTGGGAGAGGAGCCTGGATGGAAATGGTTAGAATGGTGTTGCTGCTTCCCAAAACCAGATGATGAGGAGGAGGAGTTGGAGGGGTGGTTGTGATGATTATTATTAGCAATATTATTAATATTATTGTTAAGATTTCGGCTACTGTTGTGATGATGACTTGAAGATGAGGTGGCATGCTGCTGATGATGGGACGAACTAGTACCGTTGGACGCTGTCGTAGTAAAATTGACGGAACTGGCCGCACTGGAAACGGAGGAGATTGGGTGACGATCTTCAGACATTGAAGGTGTCATAGGCGATTGGAGACTAGGCAATGAAACAGCGGGACTTGCTAGGCTTGCAATTGGAGAAGGCATCACTCCTGATGGACTTGTCAGGGCTGGTGAGGGCAGTGACATGCCGGGAGATGCCATCGACATTCCTAACAAACAATTAAAACGTCATCATTAGAATGCATTAAACAGAATCTTATAGTAAACATTTTATAGAATTTATTTATGTACCAGGTGAGGTCAAACTGAAGCTGGGACTAGACATATCCATATTTGACGACGTGTCCATGTCAGAGTCACCCGCTTTGGACTCTGGAGACAAAGGTTCTCCAGCACTACCAGCACTTCCCAAGTTGTCATCCGCACTGTTGACGCTATTTGCACCACCGCTACCACCAGTTCCATTGTTGGCCTCCTCCAAATACCGAATACACTTCTTCTTCCTCCTGAAACAGTTCAAAAGTCAATTTAAGTCAAAATTTACAATAAATCGTAACATAAACAAGGAATAATTACAATTTGTAACTCAAATTCACATGCAATCAGTATGAATTACTCATTTTCATGCTAAATAACCAACAAAAACCCAAATACACAAAACAAGCAAAGCTGAAGATTGTGCACGACTCTTGTCATCTGTTGCAAATTATTACATAATTTAGATTGGATTTTCATCCTCCCTCTAAAGACCATGCTAATAAAAATCATAAAGTTGGATGCAAACTTTATATTTGTTCTAAACAACGTACCCACCCCGCAATACCCACAACAACAACAAACGTCTTCATTTTCACTTCACGACCCACTTAACAACTGTATATTTATCTCATAGTTTCATGAAACTCTAGCTACTTTGTATCTCTTGAATGATTGTGTGTACCTCATCTCCTCGTAATATGTGATATCACAGATTAATTTTTAAATTTTCGCATTAAAGAAGACAACACAAACAAAACTCGTAATAGCTAAATATAACTTCTATTGAATTTGACTTACATAAAAATATTACACGTAATTATGTAATTCCTACCTTAACAAGAATCCGATGGTTATTGAAGGGACCTTTTTTAAGTAACCCTTAACCTACAGTATTTAATAACAAGACTAAACAATCAACTAACAACTAACTTTGGCAAACTGTTGTGGAACCCTTTCTATACATTTTAGTCTAACCTAAATCCTTTCAAGTTCTTCTACATGTTGTTATACGCATTTATAATACGACGAGGGTAGGACCAATAATAATCAGGTTGGCCATGATAGGGTGCGGCCACCCCCGTTTTCCTGTGGGAGGGCTACTCATGTGTCTACTGTCGAAGCAAGTAGATTGTTAAAAGTGACAAAAAACAGTGAGACACGCGAAAAATAATTAAATTCGGCACTTTTCACTAATTTACATGGTTTACTACTGCCAATTTAGACATTAGAAGAAAAAAAAACACATGGTAGGAAAGATTTCGATAGTTGGAGAAGTGAAAGCAGAAATTTTTGCTTTTTTTGAGCAACAAAATATGTAGACTGAAAGAGATTTGAAATCAAAATGGACCAAATGCGTTGACCTTGGAGGAGTCTATACTGAAAAATTATACAGTAAATAACTACCCCAAAATTTTAACTCTATCAAATTCACCCCGATTAGTAATAGGTCCTCCCTCCATAGTAATACTCATTCCAGTCATTAAGAGTCATCATCCTCTCTAATGACCTCACTACTGGCTACAGACTAACATAGGTCGGTTCCGGAAGTGGAGAAGCCACCGGAAGACCATGTCCATGAGGACCATGACCACCATGATGATGTAACCCTACTAACCCTTGACCATGCCCTGACACCAAGTTAAGCTGTTGACCACCTCCGTTCGGGTTTTGAAGATGGTTTTGTAAATGTGAATTTGGTGAGCCTAACATGTTTGCTAGCGTCCCTCCCCCATTACTCCCGATGGAGGAAGAATTGTTAATACTGTTATTGTGGCCATTGTTATTATTTAGCGTGGGTGACGTGTTGGGTGGGGACAGAAGTCCATTGTTGTTGTTGTTGTTGTTATGCTGCTGTTGTTGCGCGGCCGCAGCCGCAGCTGCTGCGACCATTCCGCTGTAACTTGACGAAGTCATGAGATTCAGCGTGGTGCCTGAGCCGTCCGAACTTTGGAGAGAAGAGGAAGGCGATAAGGAAGGAAGGAAGCAATCAATCAATTCATTTTGTTAATAGAATTCATACATAATAAGTCATTCATTATACAATTGATTATGTAAGTAACACAATTTTTAAAGGTAATTTTCTTTCCGTGGAAAAAGTCACGTCAGTCTTTTCGGCTATTTACATACATAATATGTAGCTCAAAAAACAAATCCTTGATAATAATTTGATCTTTCAAAAGTGGAAGACACGGACAAATTCGATATTTTTTTATGTTTTAAATGTTTACAAATAAAAATAACATCAAGAGTATCAAAAAATAAACAAATTCAAGGCTAGAAAAAAATGTATGCAAATTATCATCATCTAATCATCAACTACATCATAAATCTGCAGAGTTTATGATAATTACTTAACTAAAACATTTAAGCTCACTAAAATTACGTAAGAGAAAGTAAAAACGTAAAACTGCACAACACATCTATTCATCCAAAACTACTTCTAAATTTTGGGTTGTAAAACAAGCTAAAATCTAGGATCGACAAGAACAACAATAACAACAACAGAATTTCAGAAAATGTGTCATCCATGCTATTGATGACTACAAATAAAAACAAAAACATAAATAAAATGCCCGACTATAATAATAATAATAACGAATATTTAGCTCATGACTGACATGACTCAATCCTTACGTCCAATAATTGTATAATAATGAATGAATGATGATATAAGAATCCAACAAATAAATTAATTGATTGCTGATTTAACCAGGCAGAAGAAGAAGACGGACAGCGAGTAACGAAAGTAGCTCTCACTTTCTTTCTTGTTCCTTTATAACTTTCTCCAATTAATGAGCGAAATAAAACAGAAAATAAACTAAATGTGGGAAGACACATTTTCTGAAATCCCTTATTTTCTTAAAGTGCCATCCGAATTAATAGTGTGCAACCTATCATCATTCCCTACCTCTTAAGTAGCAAACTCACACAAACAAAGAAAAAAAAACAAGTAAAAAATAAAACACGTATGCGCGCATCCATATAATAATTAATCATTCAGACACACAAAACACAGCCGAGATATAAAAAGAGACGCAATATCCATATAATAATAATAATAGAGAGAAGAACAAGAGTTAAGAGGTGTTCAGAATAATTAAGCCATTCGCAAAGAGTTAAATTAATAAAATTCTGGACAAGCCTTTTTTTCACGAAATAAAAGGAACAATGTTGCATTCGCCAATAAAATGTGGGATGCATAAGTAACAATGTTTTGCGTAGTAGTATTGTTCGTGTCTTCTCACAAAAATTGTTGGAAAAGTGAGACATTTTGCTTGCAAAATGCACGATCTCTCAAGAAAAAAATACAACTTTCTCTTAAGATTAATTTTGTTAGTCCGCAAAAGCCTCGACTGCGTCAGATAAGGAGGAACGACAAACAAAGAGAAAAATAGTTCCCTTATCCCACAACTGAATTCTCAAATTCACTACTTACACTATAGCGTAATAATTAATAATAAAAAAACTTTTTTTATTACCTGCACGGTTTGCACCACTGACTCTGCTGATCCAGCCCATACCTTGCCCTGCACTTCTTCATACTGTTTCCTGTATTCATTCATTGAGAAAATGTATTAGTTCACATCTTAAAAAAACGCGACACGTATATCATCATCATCATAATTGAGACTGATGACACAATAAGAGACGAGAGAGTGAGTGTAAGCATTTTTATAGGAGAAAGCAGAGGTAAATAGGAGAGAGATAGAGAGACAGATATCATCACCAACTATATACCCAACCCATCGGTAAAACTTTTCATGATTATTTTTTAATATGTGGTTTTTTTTACAAAAGGGGACATTATTGAAGGGAGGTTAAGTTAAAAAATAGAGACGCAACTGCTGCTGCCACCAGTAAGAAGTCGAAAATTATTGCAAATTCGTAGAGTGAAAATAGTTTACAAACCTCCATCAAACTTTTGATCCTGTTTTTTCTTCCGCTTCTTTTCATGGTGAGTCCTATTCTGAGCCTTAATTAGAAGTTGCTTATGAGTTTAAATGTTTAAATGAAGTTGCCCTATATATATATGTAACTATGTTTTACTTACTGAGGACCAATTGGGGTACATTTGCATATGAAGCTGCCTTTCTCTACGGGCAAGCTCGTAGTATTTCGCTTGTTCCTCACGGCCTAACGCGTGCCACTTTATAGAAAGATCAAACAAAACAAAATAATTAATAAAACGATGTTGTCATTTGGAGGAAAAATGGAGATCTTTTTTTTGTACAACTATATAGATCATTATATTCCATTCCTACCCACTTTGCACCTCTTTAAACAACTGAGAGCTACCCTACTTTGTGTCTAATACACGTATTAAAGAAACTGAAAACTGATGAAGGAGTTCTTGTGCATTCACTCACAAATAATTCTGGACTGATTATTAAGTAGTAATTAATAATTAAGACCCGACTTATTTGTTTTTTGCCAGCGCGAACAAGCGAAATATATTGTTTTTTTAATAAATACCAATTGATTGATTGATTTTGTTATCATCATCGAGAGGAGGAGGAGGAGAGGGTTGTGAAAAAACTTTACCGATGGGATGGCCGTCATTGGTTATTTTAATTAAAATGGAAATATATTGGACAAATGCACAAAAATACCTCCATCGGAAGTTTTCTCTTTCTTTCTCTTCTTCTTTTTAGCACCGTAGCCTGTGTGTGAGCACATTTCATACATTATTGATGTCTTTCGTTCGTTCCTAAAGAAAGATAACCTTCCGAAGAATTTTTTTACCATAATTATCTCTAGCGCTCCAGCCAGGATATAATTGCATGTGTGTTTGCCGTTCCTGACGAGCCATTTCATAATATTTGGACTGCTCCTCGCGATTTAATGAGTGCCACTAATAAATCACAAAATAGTTCAACCCTCGATTTCATAATATAGGTAGTAATACGTATTATTAAGTAAATTACTTGTGTATATAGAGGGAAAATGTGAACATTGACAATATTGACAACAACAACCATGACAGATAGATACACATAGTAAGTAATAATAATATGTAACCGGAATGATAATAAGAATAATTATTCATTAGTAGTACATTCATGCAAATCTTTCCTAGACATAATATAATACTTCCGGTTGGCTCCTTGTCATGTATGTATTTTTTTACGCAGGTGCAAAGTTTCCCTTTTATTACTCCAAAGGAATTTCAAATCAAAAGTAATAACTTTATGTCAAAATTAAGCAAAATTACTACCATTTAACAACATAACCGCAAATTTTCATCATCATGAATCATGATTGGGCAAAGTTATTTACACAAGAAATAACAAATGACACTTATATAAATCTAACAATTTGCGATAATGTTGCAAATAATGTAATTTCCCCAAAACATCAAAGTAAGAACGAATCACTCCAATCACATTCACAACACAGCAACAACAACCAATTTCTCTTGTAACCAATTTCAATCCAGATCAGGTTTTAAGAAAGAAAAGCGAAATACCACATTTTGACATGGCATCACTTTTACAAAGAGAATTCTTAGCGAGATCTATCACATTTCGGATTGATCTCTCTCATCTTCAAGAAACTTTATGCAAGAGTGGACACGAGGCAAATTCTCTCTCTAACTTTACTACATAACATGCCAGCCACATACCACGCTTCATCTGTGGTTTGGTTGTGGCGTCACCTCCATGCATGTACTACTATTATTCGGTACATGGAAAAACACTAGATTTTTGTAGTTTCAACAATGAGAAAAATGTCAGATTTCTTTGCATACTCCTTTCTTTTATAGATCAAAGGACAAAGCCAAGTCACCAAGATGGAAATTGGACATGGGACTTTTTTTATTTTATACAAAAAAAAACTACTCGTTCTTCATCTTGGTCCAAAGAGTAAGTACTTGGTTGTTCTGGTTGTGTCGTGTTTGTGACATTTAGTCCTAATATTCTGAAGGACAGAGACAAAGAATTATTAGTATTATTGCTTACCCTTCGCCCTAAAATCTGGTTGATGGCGGCGCTCTCCTGTAAACACAATACAAATGTACATAAATTTTTGATAGTAGCGAAACACAAAAGTTAGTAGACCCACCAACAGTAGAACATAAGTAATATGTTGTATATAGATACACACATAATATGGAATAATTACCTTAAGCGTACATTCGGCCACGACTTTCGCCCTCATTTCTTTCATATATAGCATAAATGCGTTGAGAGGTTTCTTAATGTGCGGTTTCTTCTTTTCATCTGAAATAAATGCAACATCAAAATGAAATACAGAACAAAAGAGAGAACTTTCTCTTGTTCTTTCTCTGAGTGAGTGAGTGTGTGTGTCTGACTTGTGAATTTTTTTTCAGTCGTCACACACAGGGGTTGGTCGTGGAAGAAATCAAATAAAGCTTTCTCCACCAAAACCAGAGTCAAAAGTAAGAGAGTAGTGGGAGCAAAGACCAACGAAATAAAACCAATCCTGTTTTCCCCTTTGTCACATCACATCAAAAAAAACTATGAGAGATATTGGATTAGATTACTTTTGGGTTCGATGCAACAAAACAACAAAGGAAAAAATGAATGGTTTGGTTGGAACGGAAGGACACAGAGAGAGTAGTGACGACCATCGTGGGGACAGAACTTTTTTAGTGAAAGTTGAAAGAAGAAAAAAAAACTAAATAATACTTACTCTGACTATTTGACGATTGTCCTGAATCTGACGCATTTTTGGAACTATGATGATTATCAGACGACTTCTGATCGGATAAACTAGACCTGAAATTCACACAAAATGACAAGTTTTAGTACAGAGTTTTGATGAAAATATAACCAAATTTAATTAACTATTTTCTTAGAGAACTATCATAACTATTAAATTTGAATCTTATGTCTATTACTCCACAGTAATGCAGTTTACCATGAAGATCGGCTCGCATCCGATTCGAAGATGCGAAAAGCATTCTCATCGAAAACATCCTTGACATCCTTGATATCCATTGAAGATTCTTGGTCAATTTCACATAGATTCTTTTCTACTTTTACTGCTGGTGGGGACGTAGGTGCGGTCGATGCCAATAATACGTCTTTCTTAGCCGAATAAGAAGGGCATGCATGATCCAATGAGCTAGTGGTCACAATACCCGTCGCAAGTGACGATATTTCCAGTTGTAGACTTTTTCTTGGTTTTTTACGCTTGTCAAGTAGAGCAGTAGTTTGTCGTGTTTTAAGTCTCTTGACAATCTGCTTCCGATTCAAAATACTTTTCTTATTTCTGATATCCTGATTTTTCTTGATGATAGTCCTCGAATCACGCCCACAATATTTACAGATGCAGATATGTGAGTCGATAATAGTACGATGGTTGATCAGCTCGTTGGAGCGCAAACTGGTGGATTTTCCTTTAATATTTTGATTAGAGGAACACTTTGATCGTTTCTTCTTCGCCTTATTGATGCTGCTTCCAAAATCTGTATGATTAGAAGTAGTAGACTTCAACGACGTTTGACTCATTTGAATGTCGAGTACGTCTAGCGGATTTGGAGTACATTCAGAAATGTCATCGTCAAACGAATTGTCAAAATGTCCCGAATCTTGTTCTTGAGTTACGCTCCCATCATGACTACTACGATTCTGTCTTGCTGCCGTCTCGTCCTTTCGTCCTTCATGAATTTGGAATCCACGATGCGACTTCATACTAGGGTTCGGCGAAATTATTCTTGCCGTACTGGCTCTAAGCTCCAAAAGTGTGGCTGCCGTCGCAAGCTCGATGCTGGTCATTGGACAGGACGATCTTCGACTAAGGTCAATCGGCAGTTCGACGAGTTTGCCGTATTCATTGTCATGTTTCTTGTTATTTGTTGCTGATGACATTATTAAATCAAAAAGGGTGTCCACAGCAGGACCAATGACTTGGTACTTTAGAAGCGGCAGTCCCATTTCTGCCCGAGTGTTCTGCATTCGTCCCAGCTGTTTCGAAAACAATGTCAGAAGCTCGAGGAGACGATTTTGTTGAGCGAGAAGAAATTCTTCATCTTCTTGAGAAATACATATTCGAGATGGAGTCACCAAACTTGTTGAATTCCGGAAGCAAAATAATAAAAACAAAGAAAAGAAGGAAAAATGTTATCAGAAATGTACAAAAAAATACGGATACAGTGTTAAATTATTCGGTCATGCAAAACACGGTCACACAACACCGTTTATAAAAATAAAATGGAACCATGTGACAAATTATATATCAAACAAAACCAATTATATCTTCTTACCTATGATTATCAAGGTGAGGGTGAGCATCATGTTTTTGTTGTCCGACTAAGTGACTAAGTCCTGGGTGACCACCCAATCCTGATCCTGGTAACATTGGGGGATATTGTCTGTAGAAATCACTGTAATTTCAAAACAAGGGCACAAATTAGACAACATGATAAATTCCCCGATGATGTATGTACATCTTTTCGCTATGTATCACGGAATTGCTTACCTAGGTAAGGACGATGAAAGGGATGAAGAATAACGAAATCCTGGCGAACCTCCAGCACTTCCAGCGTTCGAGATCGATGGGTATATCCCTTGAGGCCTGGAATTAAACAGTTAGTTGTCAATAAAATCACTTATGTATTTTTAAGAAATTTTCAAACTCTAATACAAATTTGAACAAAATTGCAAACTACTTATCCTCAGCAGAGGTCTCAACAAACAAGATTGCTATTAATAGTACACACTACACACATTGTGCCGACGATTAAGCTGAGACAAAGGTGAACAACAACAACGAATGAATCACGCTCATTTCTCAAACGTCGGCATTATTGTGCTGACGTTCACTGTTAAGCCGCCTCATTTGGCTATCAGTTATATGCAAATTACGAGAATACAAACGTTTCCTTACCAAGGGGACACTTGAGATACTTCAGGACCAAGACCGGCGTAAGGGTACCCCATTCCAAAGGGGTACTGCCTTGACAAGCCTGCTGATACAAAAAACAACAAATCATTATCAAGTGCAATTAATTATTATTTAGATTATGGATTTAACAACGCAGCAGCAACAGCCGACAAAATTATACATCTGGCCCAGATATAAACACTAGTGTAGCACCACAGTTGGTGTTAAAACGTGTTATAAATATAAACAAACATCTCCTCGGGATCAACTTTCACTCTTTATTGCTCATCCTAAACACGAGATGTGGTTCACCCACCCTGTTTTACCACCATATAAAAAAGATAATGCCTTGAATATGGCGAAGAATCGGACGAATGTTTTCTAATTTTTATCCTCACTCACCCCATCAAACTCTTGAATTCGGATTATTATTCGGAAATGCACACTCATTCCAATTTCCATCGTCTGACCACTCATGTTGCTCAAATTTTGTATAAATAGACGCAAGTGGTTATCGATTTTTCTAACTACTTTCTCCTTTCCATATTATCCATTTTACTAAAACCACTTCATCATCTTTCGCGCAAAACACTTGAATTTCGTCTAAAAACTAGCCGATAATAAGAATAAAATACAATGCACACACATACGTCCACTCAACGTTTTTGAGTCTCACATCACTCAACAAGAAATTTAATAAGTATAATTAGTAATAATTAAATGTACCTCTTTCAACTCGACGGAATCCCTCCCTTTCCCCGGGCTTCTGTATGACGAACATTTCACCGGAAATTTCAGATTTTCAAAAATACTAGGCACACCCCCTCAGAAATTTAGGGTGCAAAATAAAATTGTGAAATCATTCAACTACATGACCACCTTTCACCGACCTTTTTCCACAAAGACGATTTCATCAATGATAAGAATTCTGAAGCTCAAGTAGACCAACATGAGTTTACATCTTTACATTCTACCTTGACTCGTCCCGTCTCAAAAAGAAACCAGGATTGATCCTGTCCAAAAACGTATTTTGCGATTAGATAGACCGGCACCAGAAGAGACTCAATGAATAATGATTTCAACCCGCAACAAAAGGCAGTAAGAGCAACCCACGATCTATTTATTTATTGTAAGTATAATGATCGTTAGCCGACCATGCATGTGATATGATTGATTCATATCATCCCCACACCACCGCAACCATTTTACTTTCCTCTTTTCCAAATTCAGCCCAATTTTAAAGATTATTCGTGCATCATCAATTGCGTCAAAATCCGCATTATAGTCACGATTCATCCACATCCACCAAGCTCTAAATTACAGACAGGAAGGAAGTAAAGAGCCAGCACCACCTTTCTCTCATCATCAACTTTCTCTCTCTTTACTTCGTTTTGCAAAATTTTCAAACACAAAATTCCACTTTCTAACGAACCTCCACCAGCTCCTAATAATTTATGTGGCTTCTTCACTTCACCTTGGGAAATATTGGAAATTCCCAAACCTCTCTCTCTTTCTCTAATTGTAATTTGAGACTAGACTTGGATGAAGAAACCATACTGCATAATTCAAAATGCAAATTCATCTTTTCACGAAAAAAGAAGTCATGTTGCACCCAGTGGAGTAGAATTCATTGACACGACCTCGTCGCAAATTCATCCTCCATGAAGGAAGAAAGACAGGAAGTGGAAACAAACCCTTTGGGACTTTTCCTTTTCTTCATCTTGACGTGACTTTATTTCTCTCTCCTCTCTGCCACCATTATATTTCAGAGTATGGAGTATTTCCCAACCTCATTTAAATTGAAGACGGCACAACCTATTCAATTATGAATTCACCGTCTTCTTTTCTTCCGTTTTTATTCAAATCGTGACACTTCTTTATTACAAAAAATCCCCCAGAATATGGATACCCATGCACCTCCATCCAGAGGTGGGTGGGTTAGTTGTTCGACGAGAGGGGGGGGCGATTTAAGTAGTTTCCACTAAAATAAAAAATAAATGTGGCTGGCAAGGAAGAGATTTCACTCGCTCGCTTTTCGTCAGTTTGTGTCCCATGGGTGAGTGATCGTCGTAATTTGTGAATGTGAGGACAGGGAAAGAGAGATCAATTCTACGACGAGTGAATCAAATAAGTAAGAGCTAAGGGAAAAAATAAAGAAAGACTGACTTTCTCATACCAGTTTCTTCCCTGCAAGAAACAATTTCATTTAATTTATTTCCTCCAAGACCAAGAAGACCCGACTAGATGATAACACTTCAACTTTCTCAAGTCAAAGTCAACCTGGTTACTTTACTACTTTTAGTTTTTTTTTGTCTACAAATTGAACCCAAAGCCCGGCACAAATCCCATTATCATTTAGAAAAATAGGAGACAACTTTAGTGAACTGAAGGATCAATCAAATAAATCCGGACTGAAAGAGGAAGAAGAAGGAGGAGAATCTACCTTATCACATTTTCCACCAACCCTGTGGGGACAGAATTTACAGAAATCGTAAAATTTCATGGGGAGAAAAGAACCTCTTTCAAAAATGCTGCCTGCAATTTTACGGGGAATGATCACTAATAAAATCAAGTTGAGTAATGAGGATCGAACTAAGAGTTGATTTTTTTTCATGATCACATTTTGAATATTATTCTGCTGACGCAGCAATAAATTCATTTCATTCAGCAAGTCAGACCAGACCATAACTGAATAAAGTGTTGCTACCCGGTAGCAAATATGGAATGAGAGCAATATGTATACACGTATATCATAATAATAATATCCCTGCTTTGGGGATTATTTGGTGGATTATTGCCATTATTTATTGGAGAGATTCATTACATCCACTTTTGTTGGGTAGTTAGGATAAGTTGACATGTATACACCTTGTTAAGTACACAGAGAGGAGGATGGAGTGGAGGGGATTCATCACGGGATTTGCTTCGTAGGGGTTATTATTATTGTTGTTAAGAATAATAGTAATAATAACGCAGTGTCGAGAGTGTGACTTGACAATGATGAAGCTAATAATCATGATCAGGAGGTACACGGTCAATAATAAAATAAACCAAGGATATTAGTAGCAACACGTTCCGTATGTGGCGTGGGTAACAAAGTAAGAACAGGAATATAAAGAAAATGGTGAAGGTGCCAGAAATTTCCACAATTTCTTAACAAATTCTCTACGTCTCTTGCAATAATTTGATAACTTTCAAAACTCCCCTGTTCCCAACGGAGGCTTAAACTTCCCTAAATTTACAACATTTTTCTTATCTAAATTCCCATTCCTACAAACTCACCGACCGAAAACCGATCCCGGCGCCAGTGAGCAGTTAAAAAGTTTCGCATTTTCAGTTTTCTTCACCCTCCTCGACAGCAAGTCTAGTCGATCTTTATCCATTAAATCTCATTATCATCGTCACTCACTCACTACATAAAACCTACCACCATCTCCCAGCTCCAATTTCCAAAGTTCAATATCCACTTTGCAAAGCAAACAAATTAAATCTCATCCCCATCCCAGCCAAGCAACGCGGTGCTGTCTCCGACTTAATTTTGTCTCTTTCTCAGTCCGGGTGGGCAAAAAGACGCAGACATGCCGAGAAGAGAGAAAGCAAATAATCCTAATAAAAGTCTCGGCGCCTTTCATCCCGAAATATATTAACTGCCAATCCTAATCCTAAAAGATAATCATGAAAAGAACAAACATCTCCCTCCGTTCATGAACAGACAATATCTGATCATCCGCCTTTACATTTTTCTTCCCCCAATCAAAACAGTATTTTCGCAATTTTGTCAAAGTATTGCAATTAATTTGCAGAAACCATGCACCAAATTTAATTACTATTCCTCCAAGTAACGAAGGAAGGACTTGTCTCGTCTCGTATCTTCCTTCCTTCCTTGTTATTAGACATCGACAGAGTGGGATGCTCTCTCTCTTATTTAGTTCCATGGTCGGTTTTCTCCCGCACCCCTGAGAAATTGGAAGAAGTAATTCGATCTCTGAGAGAGAGAATGATGAGGAAATGAGTTGAGAGATCAAAAGCCCTCCTGCCGACTCCAATTTAATCAAGACTAATGATCAAACTTTCCGTTTTAATTATCACGTCGGAAACACGGGATTCCATATTCCTCCATCCATCCGTCCGTCCAACACAATGCTGCCAAATACATGACTGCATACATCCATCCAAATCTTGAGTAAAAGGTACACCCATTTTTTAAATCACATACTTTCTCCCTTTCAACTTTACTGAGGAGCTCTAATAAATAAAATAACACCGTCATCATCATCAAATAACTCGACAAATGAGCTCGCTTTGATTTTAAATTCTTGAAACTTGACAATAATCAACACGCAGTCATGTCAAAAATCAGTCATGTACAATGAATGCGACTAGAGTTTAGTTTATAAAGAGCAACAGGACACTTGAAGACCAACTACCGAGTTAACTCTGACTGACTGACGAGTTAGCGTTGGTTCTTTCACTGCCTTTGACCTCTTTGAAACTTTCGCCGACTTGGACAAATCAGGAGAAGAATTAACTAAATGAACACGATGTATAGGGAATCACTAACAAGCATGATGGGAAATGTTTCTCGAAAAAACAATTTAATAAAAAAAACTTGCTACAAAAAATTCTGGAAAAAAGTTCAAAATAAAAATTTCCGTATGCAACAATATCCCTAAATTCATGTCTAGATGCATGCAAAACCCCCGACATCATTACGACTACCCGACCCGTGCATGCATGTCTGTCGGCTTGGATGGTGTTGAATACCATAATTTATTTTACTTTTAACTTGACTTTCACTCTCCAACAACTTTTCCCTTTGAGCCCTTTTCAACTTAAACTTTATAAAATTTGCTTTGCTTTTCTTCTCTCCCTTTGACTTTGATTTCGTTGCCGAACGAGGCAGGCAGCAGGCAGCGGGGCGACGATGTCGTAACGGGAGGACCAAGTTTAAAGGTTGGACCGTTCTCTGACATGTTGCAAGGAAGAAAGTGTCGGTCGAGTGTGTCATCGTCAATTGCTTCGTTCGTGTCATTCCTGTCGCCGACAGTTTCCCCTTTTCCCTCTTTATTCTACTTTTCAGCTTCATTTATTTTAAACTCAACTTTTTAAAGTAAACGAGGCAGAAATAAAATGAAATATAAAAAAACTATCGTGTAAAAAAATACGATAAAGTCGTCGCTTTTATTTGGGGAATTTGATACGTATAAAAATATTCTAAAAATAAAATCTCATACAAATGAAATTATTAATAAAATATCGAGTCAAAATCTAATTCAATAAAAATCAATTATTATTTTTTACACAAAATTCCACATTGACTTCATCCCATTCCATTTTTTTGCCAGGAAATACTTTCTCCAATTTCTTGTTCCAACCCAGATGCACCCTGTTTCGCTAATGTCTCCCATTTCAAACCTCATTTCAAACAAAACCTTAACAAAAACTTTGATTCGCCAAAGGACGCCGACACACGCGGAGAAATTTCGGCACCTTTTCGCATCTCTCTCAAATCCATCCCAAGAAATTTTTATTTCCGTAATTGTTTTCCGATTACATCTGGCCAAACGGCTGGTGCTGCTGGTGCTAAATATTTTGCAAATACGGTTAAAGAAAACATCTCACTTACCGGGGAAGCCCATATGGGCCGGAGGTGGAGGTGGTGTAAGACCGTCCATCCCATTGCACTGGAAGCCAAGCAATCGACTGATCCCTGTCTAAAAAGAATAACAAACAGAACAGAGATCAAACATCTGAAAACGTTACGATAAGCACAACACAACCTTATCCATGACACGTCGTCGTTCATCGTTTACTTACACACACACATACGAAAGAATGAAAGATTTATTGCAAAGAGGAGAGATTTTGCTTAAACAAAATGCCAATGTGAAAAAAGCTGTAAAAGCTTCACTCATTCAGGAATAAAGTTAAAGTTTTGCACATTTTAGTCTTTTTTTCTAATATATCATATTTTTCCCCTAGATTTTAAAGGCCATCTCCATTTGACCAGAGATACATAGGTAGTAGACACATAATAATTATTTCATTTCACTAAAATAATTTGGACGCAGATCTCGTCCTCGTATAAGCTACGCCACGCCATACTACGCCACACCACTTTCGACATGATGCATATAGAGTAAAATGTAATTAATCAGGAAGAAGAGCTTCTCCAGTTGCACTTCAAGTCAAAACTTGTAAGTTGTAGGGAGTTTGTTTCGTGTAAGTATAATTTTGTATGTTACGTTGTACCAGGTGAAATTTCAGCCCACTTGAAAAATCCTAATTTCTACTCCTTCTTCTTCTTCTTCCCTTCCGAGCAAACCACCCAATACGTGTTTCTTTTATTTATTCTCTCATTTAACTTTTTTGTAACATGGACCGAGTTGAAATAAAATTCTGAAACAAAAACATCATGTTTTCTCGACTAATGATTCCAAAATGGAAGTCAAGAAGGATTTTTATTTTACATACATATTCCGTAAAAAATACACTACTTGCCAACTTTTTAGCTCGCACCCACCCCGAGTGGCAGCAGTTAGTATATATACTTTACTAATTAATTGTGAAAAGAGAACGGGTCCGTTAAAGTGAGGGTGTGCGCTGGCTGTGTAACATGTAAAAACTAAAATTTTAATGTAAACTATCTCTCTTCTCTCTTCTCTGGCATACATCAACTTTTCGTGAAAAATTGCTATCACGAGCCAAATAAAATGAATGCCTGCTCCTTTCATATTTCAATCTTGTCCCATTACATTTATGAGTGATGAAGATTCCCTTCAAAACCAGACCCAACCTACCTGCTCCTTGTTCAGAAATACCTGTTCAGAAATTTGATGTGAATGATGAACATTACATAAATTATGGGGGATGATGAGGTGAATCCTCAATGTGTGTGGTACACACATGAATGACTGACTCTCTTCTCTTCTGACATGACAAACACAAGTTGGGCTGTTCTCGTTTGCTAATCTGGTAAGTAATGGAATAACAAGAGGAAGGTAAAAGTAGCTGTAATTGTAATAACCCGTGTAAATTATGACAGGTAAGCCAAAAGTTGGTGTTGCAGAAAAAAAATTATGTTCTGGACTTGACTTGAAGGTTTAAATTATGTATGATTTCGAATAAGGAGCAGCACAGTTTAAATACTAAATCTCAACATTGTTACCAGTTTGGAAAACTCAAATTAGATCGTAATTCTTCAACTAATTCCAAATTTTTCCGAAAATTTTATTTTCTCCCTGTTACGTAACTAAATATAGCAAAATCTCCCTCTACCAACTCCCCATCCACTACTTGTCACAATCAAAAGAATGCAATTATGTACATGATTTGAAATCAGAGTCATCAAACAAAGCTGTGACATAATGAGGCCTCTATTGTTCCACTCTCAAGTATGTAATACAAACCTTTTTCATCATCATTTTCTATTGTTTTCGACTTCTTCTTCAAGTGCCCCATAATTATATCCACTCACTCACTCTGCCACTTAAACAAGTTGGCATACGACAAAATAAAATAAAATTCCTCTTCTTTTTTCATTTCAACCAACTCTCTCCCAAATTTTAAAGCTCTTCATCCATCCATCCAGCCATCCATTTGTTCATCCAGCATAACACGGAGGGATAATTGAGACGGAATTATTCACTTGAAACTAGAACTCTGAAAGTGGAGTTAGTTTTTTTATTTCATTTATTATCTCCAACTTTCTCTCTCTCTCAACACACCAGGGACTTAAGACTCATCAGACAAGTGAAGTAAAATTCTTTTCAAGATAATCCTACTTTCACGAGCTGCTTGCATTTATTTCTTAAGAAATGTATGTACGTATAGCCATCCGGGCATTCGGTGCAGGCATGTCTGTCTCGATTAAAGTCAGTCAATCCAAAAAGAACAGATCTTCTTCTTCTTTTTGCCCTGTTTTCTCTTCTCCCTTTCTTTTTCTTGCGATGTGCAATCTCGTTCTGCTCTAGAGTTTGGACGGATGGATGAAGAGAGAGAGCTGAGCGATTACCATTAGCGAACGTCGCGGTTGAATGCTTTCTCCTTCCTCGGGAGTGAGTGGACTGATGTCATTTTATGCCAAATGGAGAAAGAATTGCTCAACAAGCTGAATTAAATCGAAATTCATCCAATTTTAATTCATCTCTCTCAGCCTACAACTTTCGAGTCTCGGGTTCATTCCATGATTGACTTCCTCCGCTTTGTTGTCGTCTTTGGGAAAAGAAAGTATTCTCAAAACTTGATTGGAACATGTTTGTTGTTTTTTTTTCTTAGTTTAACCCACAAAAAGTTTAGATTGACGTGGCTTTTTGGGGAAAATTTTGTCAAGTTTTTAAGTCTTAAAGACTTTTTAGCCAGGTTTGATATTTCTAAGAAGGAAAAATAGATTTTAAAAACTTCATGGCTTGCCAACCAAGAACATTTAACTATGAATAAATACACATAATGCAAATCTAGCGGAAAGAATGACGACCTAACCAACCTGTCTTTCTTCCTTCCTGCCTTTGTGAAAACTTGTCATCAAAAATATGTCACAAGCAGAAGAAACAATCCAAAAATAAAATAGATTTAAGAGGAAAACATTATTGCATATTTTTTCAAAAGATACTCTTATGCAATGTGGTGTTGTGACAGATGGAAAGTCGAGTTTGGACGGTTGGACACCATAAAATAAAGTGCCCACATCTGCCTATGACATGAATAATGGTCCTTACATATATTCCATCCTTATTCGTATTGTTGCTTGCTCCTTATCAAGAATAACATCTCAATAACTGGACTGGACTTTTGCTCAAACGCGGATAATTATGGGGTTTGTTTTGGCGATAAGCATCCGGACAGATGGATAATAAGTATAAAAACAAATGCAGATTTGCAATAATTTTATACCATCTGCAATTATGCAATGCTTAATTTACCTATATTGAAACGACGACCATGGCGCAATTTAACAATATTGAGAATCACACTCTCTCCAAGCATACTTTTCCACATCGCCTTCTTAACAAGTCCCTTGATTAAATTCCTCTCCTACAAAATAATCTATGAAAAGGTCCCCTGTCGTAAAATCTCGTTCCTTATCTTGAAAATAAATCTGAGCCCGGATCTCTCTCTCTCTCTCTTCTATCCATTACACAACAATATCCCTCTCTCCCTCCCTAAATAAATCCGCCAGATGCAAAACAAATGGCCATTTATTTGAATTGTAGAAAATGAATGTTCAAATGTCAAACATGATCTGGATCAGTACTTTTTGATTTGAGATGCTTCACTGATTAGGCAAAAGGGCCGACGACGATGACGACTCACTCATTCAGTGTCCGTCCCTTTTGTGTGTGTGGAGATCATTCTGGGAGTGAGTGTAAAGAAAGGGTCCATCCAATCAGATCCTATCTCTTTGTCCCCATCGAATGCAGGGGACTCGGCCCTATGTCATGTGTCACAACGCATTTTTATTTATCTCTCAACCCCACTGATGCTGATTATGATGCCATTAGTGCAAGTAAGTAAAGGTGCTTACTTTCTCTCCTTTTGTCCTCATTGCATACATACTTGAGTGAGTGCTACTAATAATAATAATGATAATGCAACTGCTGCTGCTCAAATCAGGTCGCGTTTTTGATACGATCTTTGCATAGGTAAAAAAGGTCAGGATCTGAGAACAGCTGCAAATTAGGGGTTCGTTGACAAAGTAGTTATATTCGCAATATTAGAAAATTTCGAAATTGTTGAGAATCGCTGTCAAATTTTTGGCAAAAAATGGAACTTTTCGATTTTTGCATAGGTAAAAAAGGTCACAATCTGAGGACAGCTGCAAATTAGAGGTTGGTTGACAAAGTAGTTAGTTATATTTGCAATATTAACAAATTTCGAAATCGCTGTCAAATTTTTTGTAAAAAATGGAACTTTTCCCCAAAATGTGTATCATATTTTCCCCAACCAGCAACCACCATCTTTTTTTAGCTCATTTACATTTTGTCCCCTCACTCACAGAAGTAACAATATAGCCTTCATCCATGAAAATGATGATAGTCTTCTTTCCTCTCCTCTCCTCTATGATGAGGAGGAAAACCTAGTTTAAAATTCAATACTGGTTCATTTCCCGTCATGATGATGCTGGCTGGCTGTGTTCCCTCCCTAATGATTCCAATTCCGACGTTGGATGGAATTCCAATTTGACGAGGCTCAAAGGGAGGCCGAATTTCTCCGCGTGCGAGTAAAATAATATTTTACTTTTACTTTAAAACCAGGCGAACTCCATCACCGTCTCCTCCTCCTTTTCAAATACCAAACCAAATATAAATGACAAGACCAGGCCGTACCCACGTATCGCACATGTATTACGAGGAGGAAACCCAACCGACTGTTGAATTGGGCAACGTAGGCAGACAGAAATCCTTTGAAATGGAAACTTCCACATTTCATTTAAAGACTAAACAAATAATGGTCAGTTCCGTCGTATGACGAGTGAGTGAGTGATAATACATATGAAATGAAAAGCGAGAATGAAATGAGGTGCATTTCAATCATGTCCACTTTGAAGTGGACAATCTCAAAAAAACTTTCACTTTTCTCTCCTCTCTCTCTAATCAATCAACTCTGACTTGCTTTTTACCAGCAAAAATCGAAATGTCTCAAAAATTTATGTACATTTTTTTTACTTTAAAAAATTAATTTCTTCGCGTCCAATATCATTCATCTCATCTAAAAG